TACGTGGGATTTTCTCGAACTGGGGACCCGAATCATCTTATGATTTTAATTTCAACAGGAGATAAAACAAAAAACGTCATTTACTCAGAAGTTTTATAAAATTCTTTATCAACCAAAAATTACTCAGCATTCCTTTTGTATCTGTATTCATATTTAATAAAAATATATTTGTCATTTATCCCGCTAGAAACATTTCAAAACGTTTTCATTAACCTTTTTTATTTTAACTTGCCGATATTATTAAACGATAGAATCTGAATAAAAAATTCTATATATCATCGTCCGAAGGCAAATTAAACAACCAATCACGGGTCGGCTAGTATGTCATATTATGGTAAAATAATTAAACAGGTATTATATATTTTTTTAATAATAATATGTTTGATGTACTGATTTTCTTATTTTCCCACATTTTTACCGGTTTTTCACATTTACTCGGAAAAACCTTTGGAAAATCGAAAAATAACCTTCATAAAGTACCTTCCTAGTCAGATTTCCTTTTAGAAAAAGTGCTATCATTGTAAATCAGAGTAAGCCTACGCATTATAGTTTGGATTTTTTTCTGAGCTTGGAAATTTTAGCAATTTATACTAACCTGATTAATTATTGTTTTCAGTAATTTAAAAAAAAAAAAAATATATTATCTATACGTATTAAATCCACTTCCACGGTGACTTATTTTTCCCTCCAACAATATGAACAAATTAATCCAGTTTTTATCATGTACAACACACACACACACACACACACACACATATATATATATATATATACGTACATGATTTATTTGAGCTTAACAAACGAAGCTTAATTGAATATTGCAATAATTAATTATTCTTGCGCAAAAAAATCATGTATATATTCTTATTGTAGGTTATACCTACCTGACTACCTAGTATTTATACCGAGCTTAATACACAGAAATAAATGTTATATACGAGAAAATTAAAATTAAAAACGTTCAAAATAATTATCTAAGCCAAAAAAAAATTACTTAACCGGATTTTAAATCCAAGTAAAAATATTACAATCTCAGATTTTATCATCATGTTAAAATTGTTGTACTGTAGTATTATGATTTGAAGCGAATTTTTTTTTTCATTACGTTGTGACGTCGCCGAGCAGTAAAATACGATTATATTATAATATTATTTAGTTTATATATTCGGATTATTTGAAATCAGATTCCCCGCTTTTCCGGTTGAGATCATTTTTTTATTATTACATGTATTGTATGTATAGTATATACTTTGTAATTTATTTAATATAATATTTTTCCCAGGAAATCTGCTTAGTTCGACAAATAAAATTAATCTATTTAACGACGTGCTCTGAATACGAATATATGCTTGTATTATATTGTATAATCTATCAATCTATCGTAAGACACTCATTATCTCAGAAAGCATTAACTTTTTTCGGAATTTTATTTATATCACAGCTTCCAATTCAGTAAAATAATTTTGAAATTATATTATTTTTTGTTAGTCTTATTTTCGTGAGTAAAACCACTACCTATTTTTGATTTTCAAATGACAACCCGTATTAAAAATTCCATAAACAGATATGGAATATTAGTTAAAATATATGTTGATGTTGAAATTTTTGATTACCATCAATCTATTTCAGAGGTGGTATTTAGGGAGGGGGCATAGGGGTCATGACATTTTGTTTAACTGTACGCATAAGTACTTTATTCTTATTATATATGGACAAAATACAATTATATGTATGTATACATATTACAGAATATTAGCCTCTTCCTTAGGCAAAGAACTAAATCCGTCACTGATTTGTTGACAAGATATTCAACTTTTAAGGTTGGTTAGGGAAGCAATAAGCAACCCTGTTGGTAGTGATGCATCATTTGAGTGGCTCCATGATAATAAACGACTCTTCCCCAACCAATGATCCATCTACTTATGGAAATTTTAGTAAAGGTTGCCATTTGAAAATCAAAATCAAAAGTAGGTAGTGGTTTTACCCCTTTAAATAAGGGTGACAAAAAATAACATAAATGTAAAATTATAGAGCTTCTTGTTCCTTAAATGTTCTATTAAACAAAATTTCGAAAAAAATAACACTTTCTTAAATAATGAGTGTCTTACACGATAGATTGATCATTTTGTATACTGCAGGCAAGTTTGATAAAATATTCCCCATCAGGGCTTAAAAGTATGTGCAATAATAAATACAATATTGTGCAGATCCGTAAATTTGTTTAAAAATACACTACTATATAACAGGGGTAACTAATTGGTGGACCGCGAAAACTTTTTTTAAGGACCCTTATCAGTGGAAGTTTTTAAATGTATATAATATATGAAAATTAATCTAGGAGGTGCTCAAGCAGCCCTACAGATGTATGGTGGTGGGTCATAGGTACCTTATAGATCATCTGACCATATCATAGTAATAGGCTAGAGGATCTAATGCTAATCAGTTGCAATTTGTAAGCGTGATATTCCATTATCTTCAGATAAAATTCTACATAATTTTTCACAACTAAGTGTTGATTTGACTAAGAAATTAGTTTAGTTCTTTTCTTTAGTTAACCTAACACTTTAACAAACAATAACATACAAGGTAAGAAAGTGAAATATTTATAATTTACCTATTGTTTGTTAATATAAACAAATAAATAAATAATAATATTATAATATAATATAACAATATAATAATTAAGCGAATTTATTCATGTTTTTTTTAAAGTATTATGATTAAATTTCATTATCAGTTTTGTTTTAATTTATGTACAGGTTTGTTATTTATTTAAAAAATTTAAACTTCATGATGGTTTCAAGGTTCGTTAAGCATAAGAGTATATTATAGAGATTATAAAATATTTATAATGCATGATAGACACTTTTAATTTAAAGGAAGGTTCTATAAAATAATTATTATAAGATAGCAGCGGTGGTGGTATAACTTTGTGAATTGATCAAGCCTCCTAAATATATTTTAGATAGTCGTCACTAGGGGGGATGGAAGGGAAGACGGTATGTGTGCAGTAGTAAATTGCATACATTTTAGTCTTCGATTCTTCATAATTTTTACATCATGATTCTAAGGCTATTTCAGCCCTCTTAAAAAAATATACTTATACTTAAATTAGGTATAAATATTTTAGTACAAAAAAGAAAATCACGATTTCTATAGACAAATATATATGTATATTTTAGGTATTCGTAATTTTGTTTCTATACCCAGCTGCAAAAATATATTAATTACAATTGAATATACCTACAGTTCTTATGTATTAATAACCCATACTTTTTTTAATCGTGTAATTTAAATGTATAAACATAGGCTCAAATAGTGAGGAGCTAAGCTGTCCACCAAAAAAAAGAAAAAATTAATAATATCTGGGATATTTGTGTCTATGCTATTATATTATGTAGTTGTTAATTTATTATTAAAGTTTTTAATTGGGCATGACAGGATACCTATATGCCACTGTCTCGTCACAATCAATTTTTTAGTTGTGTCCTACAATTTCAACACTTTATTTTAATAATTTGAATTGTTTGCTATACTATGTCGTACAGAATATTGATACTAAAGGTAGGTACATTAAATCAAATTAACAATGAATGGTAATTAAAATTCAATCACGGACAATTATTTTAATAATATTATAATATCATGGTTTACTTATTATTATTATAAACACTTTCGTGTTTATAACAAACCTACTTATACAAGAAAAAAAAAATAGATTTTTACAAGTCCTATAGACAAAGGGTTACCAATTAGCTTTACATTACCATGGAGATAAGCGAAGAAAAAATAATAATATTATAATATATAATAATAATACAGTATGTTGAGTATATCTACTATCGAATAAAAAATCGGTATCAATTTGTATGCTGCTAGGTAGGAATTTGTTTTTGAATAATTTATCATACCGCTTAATATGCCGCATGCCTAACAATTATTATATTATTACTACGTGATTTGAAACGTATAAATAATCATAATGATAATTAGAAATAAAACCTACAACAATAAACTAATCTACTTGATGACTTAGAAGGAACGATTTAATTAATATTGGTCTACGAACGGTTTATTGCGGTTAGAGCAGTCGATAACCGAAAAGTAGGTAGGCGAAACAAATCACTTAAGTATTATTAAAATAATATTAAATACCTACACGCGGAAAAACTGCGACTGCTGTTTCGTGATTTCGATCGTTTTATCGCGTGCTATTGCCAAACAGTACGGTGTTTGGCAATAGCACCTACTATGTACAGTAGAACGATAAAAAATAATATTAGCAAAACGATTACCATAGGTTTTTTTTTTTTTTTGTGAATCAAATAATTAAGTAGGTAGGTACGTAGGAACCGTACCAACGTCCCACCTACGGCAATATAGCGTGTTGTCGGGACGATTTAATTATTATAATATTTATTAATTTTTTTTTTTTTCTACTTTGAAATCGGGTCACAGGGTGTGTGCAGGCACGTATATCATGCGTATTGTGTTCAAGTAATAATAATATTATTATTAGCGTTGATATTGTATTATTGTATTATTGTATTATTGTTGGTATACACGTCGAGCAGCTGCGGTGGCCTGTTATTGGGCCATCGGGTGTAGTCATCGATAGGTACACATTGTAATGTTTCGATATTCGTAAAACATTATCAATTCGATAGTGCCGTGGCGCCGCCGAGCCGGCCGGCCGGCGCTCGGCGTGGCGGCGTTCGTCGACGATCGTTGCACCGTTGCGTCGCGGTGCAGCGTTACGCATTGGCGACCGCAGTGATAACACGTAGCGCCGGTGTGGTGTTTCGAACGAATTATAATCCGCTTTGAACGATCCCTGGGGATTCCGTCGATGTTTTTCGCGCGCGCGTTCGTTACCGCGCGTTATCTTGTCCGCGGTTTACGATAACGGCGAGCGCGCGGATGCGCCGCCGACCGGTACCGAAGCACCGCGACGAACCGTTCCGCCGGGCCGGAGCGCTCCGGTGCGGTACGTCGTAATCAGCGGCTGTGTCACATGGTTGTCGATTGCGATAACGAGTCGCGCCGTGTGGAGTGCGGTAGCGGAACGATAATGACGCGCGATAGGGCCGATCCGTTTTTATAATATTAGTTCAAACTCGATCCGTGCATTCACATTACTCGGTCAGTCTTGCGTTTTGATCGGACGGCACATGGTCCTCTCCTCCTTCAGCCGCTCTCATCAGTACACCACTGCGACTACGGCGACCACGACGTCTTCTCTCAACTGCCCGCTCCCGCACGGTATGCAACATTCGTTATTTTCTTTCGCCGTTGCGTTATTGTCGATTTTTTTCCTCCAGTTATAATTATTGAAACGTCGTCATAATAATAATAATAAAACGATATTATTCACGTAGTAAACGGTTGAAACGTTGTTCCACTGCCGGTGGAAAAATTATTGGAAATATAATTAATATTTTCCGCACAAACATTATTATTGACAACATTTTGCATCAACGACAAACATGTATGGTACGTTTCATGTATTTATGTAAATGGTACACGACGTTCCCGTGGGCTTGCCTAACGATTCTGTTGTCGTCGCTGCCGTGTGAAGTCACGTGAAAAGTCTATTCATTCATTTTCTCAAAAATATAACGAGACTTCGTTATGGCCAACAAAATGCGATCAAACAATCCACCAGAGAAGAAAAACACGACAACGGTCGCGCCAACCGTCATCAGCAGAGGACCACCGGACGGTGGTTGGGGTTGGTGTGTGGTTTTCGGATCGTTTATGATTCATGTCGTCAGTAAGTATATAGTTGAAAAAAAAAAATATATATATATACATTGTTATTATTATTGTAATAATATAATTAGGTACCTACCAATTAATAAATACCGTTATACGAATCATCAATTTTTTTTCCCCTAACTAAGTAGGTAGCTTAGGTATCTAGTAAGATACCTAGTGAGGTAACAGTCTATTTTATTTTTTTTTAAATCTACTCGTGTTGTACACTAAATATAATATTAATTATGAGATTGCAGCTATTTATTATTTACGTTTTATATTTATATTTAAATTTTTTTTTTTCAAATATTTCTCTCGGGTTCTTATTAATTTATACACATCATGATGCTTTGGCACCAACCCATAACAAAGTGTGATGACTTTTTTTTTTCTTTTATTATTATTATTATTATTATTATTATTATACATTTGTCCGAATTCTAGTTTAAATATATACTTAATATAATGTTATATATATTAATATTGTAGTATCTTGTCCGATCCCGTTGGTGTTAAATCATCAGCCTTGGAATACTGAACATTTTTGTTTTCATTGTTATTATTGAGTTTGTCACATGTGATAGTTAAAAACCTGTGCCAATTTACTAATCATCACCTGAATTTTCCCTTACAGAAGTCTATAACGACACATTTAAAATGGCATTAGAAAAAATACATTGTTTTCTTTCTTTCTAAGTTATATTAATTTTGTACACCAGGTATTTATCTATTCATAAAATAATATATGGGCTGTAGATAGTGTTTATTATTATAATAATATATACAAAATACAAATTTAAAGTCACTTTTAAATTAATAGGTACTGTCAATAAAAACTGTTAAATTTGCGTTTACTATTTACCTATGACTTACTATTAGGACTGTTTCCGAAAAATCATAAATGCATTGTTATAAGTAGGTACATATATGTATTAAATTGAGTTATTAATAATTTTTAAATTCAAATTAATATTCCTTATTTTATTAATGTATAGGTAGTAAAGAATAGATATCATTTAAAGTGAGTAAGTAAATATCAGTTAAAATTGTATTTAGATGGTACTCAACCAAATTTTTGTTTAATACTAACAAAACATTAGTATTATAATGTAGGTTTAGTGTTAGTTCATAGTAATATTACTAATTACCCAGTAATTTACCTAAAATGTTTAATTTGATTTTTGAAATACCTACATTTAGTTAGTTAAAATATATTAAACGCTTATTATAATATTTTATTTGTATAGTTGTTTTTGTTATATTAATAATTGATAATTTAAATCAGTTTAGAAATTATAAATACTTTGATGTCTACTTACTTATTATGTTTTGTACATCTAAATTACTGATTCTTTCTTTACAGTAGTTGAATAATTTATTTTATACTAATAGTATAGATAAAATAAATTATTTTCCAATGTTACTAAATATTATTTATCTAATATTTAAACATACCTAAATAAAGATAATTTTATATTAGTTTCTATTTCATTTTAATATACTACATGTTTTATTAAATATTTAAAGTTAATCAGGTACAATTATTATCAAATAAGTATTCATATTTTAAAGTAGAAAAAAACCACATAGATTCAATAAATATTATTCATGTTCTGAAAAAAAAATATTAACTGAATTGTTGGATTTATTGTACTCTTCAATAAGTTATCTTTAAATAGGGTTTGAAGTTCCATTCATTTTTATTTTATAGCCAATTTTTTTCTACTAGACTCCATAAAGATCATGATAGTTGCTAGATAATAGCTGAGAATTTGAAACTATAAAAAAAAAATGTATGATAGATATTACTGAATTAGAGAACATGCTGATAGCATTACTGCTTATTTTTGTTCTAGAATATTATGTGCCATACAAATTCAAGTAAATATTAATTCAACATTACTATTTGTGTTATGTTTCTAGGTACCAACATTATTGTGTGTTTTTCACTAGCATAACACAATAAAACTAATATTTTATAAAAAAGAAGTATATATTAGGTATATCGTTCATACACATAGGGTTTTGTAATAATTGAATGACAATGTAAATTTTTCTTTAATCTGTAGATACAAAATGATTGACATTGTATGGTTCAAACTATTATTTATGTTAAACAAGCTTCCGATGTGGTTTATATATGTTTTACCTTGTGAATATTTCTATTAAATTCCTATTATATTTTTTGATACACTTTGTGTTGATGACTTACATGTGCGAAAATAAATCTAGTTTGGAATTGTTAATTTTTGTACCTATTTATTAAGTAATTACATATTATAATAGATTATCAATTATGATGATTTTGTGTTCACAATTTTTACCAATAAATAATTTAGGTATAGTTAAATTTTTATCGTACAATTAAAATTTCAGGAGGTTAAATTAGGTTATTATTATTAGGTATATGCTTAGAAAATATAATATAATAATGCTAATTTTGATTATGATGGTAATTGTATTCTAAAATGTATAAAAGAGATAAATTATTAAAGTATAAAATGATAGACTGTTGTGTTATGACAGTTTCTGAAGTTGAAAATTAAATGCGATAATGTTAGACCTCTTGGGTCAGGTATCATTAAATAATAATCATAAGTTTCTTGACAGTTATAAAGAATAGATAAGAATGTAACACTTTACATCACTAAGTTAAATTTTAACTTGCGATGACAAATTTTTTTGAAAATAACTTAATTATTTGTAAAATTTAGGTATGTTAATACACAGATATTCTGGGAGAAACAATTATGTATTTATTCAATTTGTTTAAAAAAAAAAAAAAAACTATGTATCTTATAAATTCTATAATCATTTTCCATTGACAAAATTATTATACAACAATTAATTTCTTTATCTGTGATTTGATTTACAATTCAAAATGTATTATAGATTACAATATTAAGTAATTCACAAGTGATCAAAAATTTCTTAATATTTTAAGAAGACGAAATTATGTGTTATACCATTTTTCATAGAATTAACTATGTACTTATATTTATAAAAAGAAGGTATGTTTAAATAGATATATTTATTTCTGTAAAGTAAGAACATTAATTTAAATATAATAAGTGGTTTTTTTTTTTTGTTAACAATAAGTCATTTAAATTAATAATTAGCTTTTTGTAATAACTATAATAACATACAAAGTGGTTTGTTTTCGTAGGACATCTGTTGAACATTATCCTAATAACTGTGTGTGCTACTGTTTGTTATTGTGTAAATGTAGACTACTTCAAAAGGTCCTACTATAGTCAAACAAATTATTTGTAAGATTTACTGTTAATAAATAATAATTTTTATCAGCTGAATTAATTTCAGTCCTTATTGAATGAACTGCATAGTTCATAATAATTATAAAAGGACAAACTCATTAAACATAGTCAAATAATTATTTAATTCTTCATTATATAATAATATGTTCAATTTAAAAATTTTTTTGTTAAAATCTTATTGGTTAATGACTATTGTATAATAAATGACAATTCAACTGCAATGTTTGGTTTTACTTGTTATTAAAAAAATAATAATTTTTGCCGGTTCATTTCAAACTCTTTAGATGGTCGTTAAGAATAATTTTTTGTTAAATAGTGCAAAACTGATTATTAATAATTAACCCTGAATGTTTTTTTTTCTTTAGATTCCGAGCGTAGCGAGTGATCTATTGGTTTTACTATGATGTTTATTATCTTTTTCTTTGTTCTAGTGTGTAGACACTTTTTTCCTGGTAAACTTGCTCCGATTTTTACATGTAGCAACTTTTCTGAAAGCTCAAGTTGTCTAAATTGTATTTTTAAATAAAAGCACTTCTAAGTGTTACATTTTGTATAACTTGAGTGTAGATTAAAAAAGTAACAACGCGATTGTAATTTAATTTTTTATTACTCTATAAATTTACTTAAATATAATATTTTGTTGATTTTCAACGCCATATTTTAAATAAAATCAAAAATAAGTCGGAAAAAAACGTAGGAAAACATACAATTTTGCGATTTCATTATTTTATAAAACCACGGACGTTTTCTACCAGAAAAAATAATTTAATCGGAAAATCATAAGATACCTTTTTTTGTTGCCTTTTTGATTTACTTTCTTACGGTATCATTGCCTAAACTTTTCAGGTTTTAAGGAATTTTTTTGCTGTAATTCGGTTATAAATACACTTAGAGACTCGAAACTTCGTAATAATACTTATATTGAACTTACCTAGACATGTCAAATTTCCAAAATCATCGGACGTTTTTTTTTTAGATAAGCGTTTTGAAATCAAATTTAAACGAAAATCGCAAAAAAAAATTACGGCACTTCAAATTATGTATTACCGAACTGCGGTCGGAATCGTCTTTCGTCAAACAATAGGTTATCTTTGCTACAGATATAAATAAATTAGCCTTATTTATGTATCCTTCCTTCCCAACTTCTCATCTACAACAGTGGCCGTTTCCATCCCCAGTATCAGCTCTTTTTTTTATTTAAAATTTATATTACCTAATTCAAATTATTGTTTTTCATAAACCAATAGAGAAATTACTTCTATACGTACCACGATTTGTCTACTCTTTATAATTTATCTAATTATGATTTTAAATAGGCAGGGATTAATTATGTAAATTGGTTTTTTTTATAATTTTCGAATATCCAATTTGCTAATTATTTAATTTTTTATAGTCAAACATTATAATCATTAGAAGAACCGTTTAAAAAATAATAACAATCGTAAATTGTACAAATTCAATTAAATATTATGTATTATTACCTATTCATATTAGTAGTTATTTTTAATATTTATTTAATATGTACTTAAATGGTTTTGTATTGGTTATTTCGCCTACATTCTGACACCTATAAAAATGTAGATGTTAATATTGTGGTTATCATTATAAAACCTATTTTTGATTATTAAATGAAGCATTTTTCATATAGGCTAGGAGTATTAGTCCACGGGATTGAGTGTCTTATTTATATTTGAATTCAAACAATAATTAATTAGCCAAATATCATTAAAACAATAATGACTTCTGATTATTAATAATTGTATTTAATTATATTATTTGATCTAAAGGGGTCCACATGAATGATAATAATTATAATTGTTTTTCTTTCTAATATTATTTGGTGGGTAGATTATGGGTACCTACCCAATATTTATCAACCCAATTTTACTTATTTATAAAATACACATTACAAATGATTAGTATGGTCGCCTGTTATTTACTCGGGTATTTTATTACAAACTTAATTTTAGTTTGTAGGTATCTTATAAATTAAAAGTATGTTTCAATGACATAATGTCATTATCTCAAATACGAACCTATACAGTTTAAATTTAAAATATATCTTGATTGTTAAAAATTAAAATACATATAAAAAGTACCTATTTAATAAATACAAATCGAAGTTAAATCTACTTAATCTTATGACGTTTTCGTAATTTTTTTGGTTTCATAATAATATTTAATTCTAGGTAATCTAAAAATTAATAACAATAATAATAATAATAGTACTGACTTGTAAATTTGTATTTATTTTTTTCCCCTAGCTGACGGAGTAACTTATTCATTTGGAGTTTTATACAACGAATTCCTTAACGTGTTCCAAGGTAGTAAAGGAGCAACTGCGTGGATCGCGTCTTTATTGGTTGGAGTCACGTTATGTTCAGGTAATAATAATTATTAAAAGTGATTTATTTACACGATATTAACATTACGATTGGGTTTGTGTTAGTTTGGAGGCAAATAAAGCATTTTACACAATGCATATTCTATCAATATTTATGTATCGAATAAGAAAGATTATTTTCGAAAGTAGGTGGCGTCGTCGATTAGGCTACCCCGTTAGTACAAACTTGAAACTTGGTTTTATAATATTGTCATGTTATTAATTAAATACAATACCTATACGTTTTTATCACGCACACGGCATTTCGTCCGGTCGGCGGTATTTTTGTGCTTGAATCGTGTCGCTCGTGCGATTTTTTGAGCAGGTTTGACAGCATTGAATTTAAAGGATTTATTACCTATTTTACGAACATTCCCGCGTGCCGAACATCAAAGTCGGATCCTTTGATCCAGTGGCGTATCTAGGAGAGAAGAGGATAGCTTAGAAGTATTCAGCTTAACCCGTTGGTCGTGTTAAATAGAAAAAAAAAATTAAAATAATATTAATTATTCAGTTGTTTTTTGGTCTAGTTTTTTATTTGCTCTTACCCACACCCCCTCTTCACAATGGAAAGTATCGGATACGCTATTGCTTTGATCGTGTATACACCCGTTTACGGTCAATCGACTTAATATTATAATATTATCTTTTCATTTAGAAACATTGTAATATAATACTCGTAGTACCTAATACAATTAATTTTAAACGCATAATTGCAAAGTTAAACGCGTACGTTAAATAGATAGATGTGGGTACATATAAAACATTAAATTATACAGTCGAATGCATATAGCATAATATAATACATTTATTAGACTCTGAATGTAGCGAAGAATGTATTGGTTTTACAAAAATGATTTTTTTTTTTTATTTTTATATATATACTATGTACAAAAATTCGACAATATATCTTATTCAGATATATATGCGCGGTACTATTTCTGAATGAGAATGTTGTCCAGATAGTATTTTTGGGAAGTCATTTTTTGAATTTTTTATTTTCCAAGCGGTTTTTGTAATATCTGGGAAAAACCAGGATAAACCGTAAGAAAAATGGAATTTTACAAAAATAATGCTTTATTATTTTTCAATTTTTTTATTTGTTGTAATTCAGTTAAAAATATTCGTATCAATTCGATGAAATTAAAATTTGGATAAAAACTTATATTTGCCTTTTTCAGGCGTGGTAAAATTTGCAAAAAATGTAAGCCATTTTTGAGGTATTTATAGACATTTTAATTTTGAGAGTTTTGTAGTATTTTTACTTTTTTGGAAAAGAAATCTGACTGGGAAGGGAGTACTTTAGGGAGGTAATTTTTCAATTTTCCCAGTAGTTTGATTAACTGAACTGCGCTCAGAACTGTTCTTTCGTTAGCAATGGTTTATCGTTGCTTATAGATATACATTAAATTACCTATAACAGTGACTGCACCCGTCTCTATTATCCTAGGACGTATTTTTTTTTTTAAATTAAATGTGTATCGGCTTTGTGATGTTTGCTGAGCGATTGGACGAGGAGAAGCGATTTTTGTTTTGCCTCTCAACGGTCCGGTAATATTACTATAAGTTTGTCGGTGAGAAGTTCCGTGTAAAAACCGGAGTACTCCGTGGAGGAAACGGTGCATTAGTCGAATAAAATGATTTCCTTTACGACCCGTTTGATTTGTTTTTTTTTACTTTCGATTGGTTTAATCGTGATTGGCTATGACGGAGACTAGTTTTAACAGGGGAGAGGAAGACGAGTTGAGTATATGAACGTGAGTAACTTATATTCTTCTCTCGGTCTGTAGTTGGTAAGTTTTTTCTCGTTCTTGTTTTCGGCCGGCTCTCGTATCGAAGTATATTATACTCGTACAATAATGCTGTTATTTTAGAGAGTACATGTCTCGGGGTCGTACTATTCGGATGATATTGTGTGAAGCACGGTTACCGGTTAGGTCGTCTGGGGATGTGGTTATATTTTATAATTGTGTTTATCTATTGTAATAAAATCTGATTTCAAAGTATTCGGGTAGGAAGAACCTTTTTTTTTTTACCTCTCTCTGTCTCTCTCCGTGACTGTTGAAATTATTGTAGGTTTTTATCGATATTGTTGTGTGTGTACACCGCCACGGCCGGGCGTTAAATTCCTAAACACGAGCCTGCGAACCATATGTGCGTGATTTTTTTATACCAACGGTGTCCAATCCTATAATGAATGCTTGCGACATGGCAAACTACTCATTGTGTCGTGTACGTCTATAGACGCGTACTACGCATTTCGAATAAAATATTCGAAATTATAAGTACGGCGTATTTAAATACGTAATAAGTGCTTTTTTTTTTTTTTTTAAAAAAAATAAAAAAACACTAACATGTCTGTACATTTTGGAAAAAAAATGACATAATTCCCTTATCTTTAAATTTCTTTGTTTGTATTTATATTCCAATTTCAACCTATAATCGCCACAGTTTACGTTCAAATAAGTATAACGTAATTTTGACATATTGGCCGTTAGTAAGACCGAACCAATAATTGAATGGACAATGTTATTCTCCTCTTCTTTTGGATTGTAGTTGAAATAATCGATTTTTCAAAATTGATTTCAAAATTCTTTATTTTTTTTTTATAACGTGGAGATTTACACAATCATCTAATTATTTAATGATGTAGAATACAAAACTGATGCACATACTCATCATTAACAATATTTTTTTTGCACCATAAATATTACATTTTTCACTGTATAGTACGTGTCTATCACTGGCTGTAGTTAAGTTGCGGCCCGGATTGTTATTTTCGATGTCGAAAAGTTATTTTGACCCCTGTTAAACTTTTAGGTCTTAGGTTAGTTGCGGCCCGACGAATCCTTTTTATTTAGAAATTGTCTGGGTGTTATAATACCTAGTTATATTATATTTTATTATTTATAAAGTACCATATTAAAGCTAGTATCTAATCTAAAATATAACGACAGACGATAAAACAATACTAAACACGTCGTTATACACTAGCTATATATAATATGGAGTGGCCACTAATCTTAATTTTAGGAGCTGCAAATTTATAAAGCTAATTTGAGGCGAGCTACATTGTAAAGCGATGTTTATAAAATGAAGACACATTTTTCATTTTAAATCAAATAAAGGAACATTTATATTTTATACTACGCAAAACATTATTATTATTGATATTATTATTAATATTATTGTTGTTTTATTTATGAGAAGTGCTTATTCGAATGTTCATTTTTTCTGTGCGTTTTGGCTTCGTTGTGGCCACCTCTGACTTTCGTTAATGTGTTACTTGAAGTTCAATCTGAGATTTATATAAAATTTAGAAGCAATAGATTAAAAACGAAGAAAATGTGTGAAAAAGGAGCTCTTTTCTGGGTAACACTAATAAATTGATGTAAGGTGGTAATTATTATGTGACCGAAATTCGTACGTCCCTCTTATAAACTCGGGCCGCAATTCACCGACACCGATATTTTCAATATGATGCCGGGACGGTGGTGCCCATGAATTTTCAGTGAGAGGGCATGTAATAAATAGTAGTCGTGACTCATGAATAAATTTTGAAATTTTCATTTGTTATACCTATAATTTGAAAATGAGAATTTAAAAACTGGATTCAAAAAAGGCCAATTATTATTAAATTATTTAATAGTTCAAGCTTCTTTTCTTTGGAACTTGGCTGAAGTATACAAATTCAAGATAGAATTACTAAAAAAACACTCATAGTTGTTGTACTTATGTAATTAACAATAAACGAATAGGGGAGGGGAGAGGATATACCTCTAACGTCCCTATCCATTCTCACGCCACTGCGCTGGGGAAAAAATCGCTGCTCTGCAATGGGTATGTGTTTTGTATTTTTGCTAAATACATTTTTTCTCGAAATGTTATCATTTTAGATATTATTTACTTTTAAATTATACACTGTTATATTATACTGTACACGCTCTGCGGGTGGATGTTCACTTGAATGGTAAACAGCGTTATCGATTAAATACTGTTCCGGCAATATAGTTGCAATAGTTGTCGTGGATAAATTATCTACAAATAGACACAGACGAAAGATTGTGGGTGGATTTTATAATATTTGCTTAGTTAGGCGCTATTTATAATCATAATAATATTCGTAAAGTTAAAATATTCAATAAATTTATCAAAACAGTATGCCGGCGCGTTGCATCTCCGTGGCTACTGTTATCTTGTTTTTCTAGTTTTATTTTGATAATAATAATTTTATTTAATGCGAAATATAATATGATCTCGACAAAATTATTATTATTTTTGATTATGTGATCGAACTTCATTCGACGAATTTTCGTTAACGCATTTCACTCTGTAGTAACATATTGTTTACACATGTAATTATGTTTTTACTTGACCAATAAAATAATAATCTTTTTTTCCTTGGTGTCCGGTTGGTATCAGTGTATCACGCGCTCCATCCTGTAGGCCTCCTCTAATCCTGGCCACATCAATATTCCACTCACCTGTAGTTTGTCTCACGCATCAAGATAATAACAGTGAAAAACCGATTCGTAGTCGTTTACTCCTTAATGGGCGTATGCTGTAATATGTGTAGTATATTGTACATACTACGTTGGTATAAACTATAAAGGCAATTTATCGTTAAAGTTGCAATTATGTAGCGTATGACCTATAATTTTATTATAGTTGATTTTATCGTAAATATTAATTTTTTTTTTTTTCATAATTGACCACGCTTAAAAACCAATTTCGTTCAAAACGATCATGATAGATATAATACTATTATGCGAGTATAATACAAGTTCTACACGGCATACCTAATAATAATACATAAGCTCTTACCTATGCTCATACACCCTGTATATTTGTGTTTTAATGATAGTATACATAATATTATATTATTTATATTATAATTTTGTTTTCTGTCTTTTCTATAATTCGATATGTTATTAATTTTACTTTGAGGTATTCGCTTATGCAGATTTCGTCAGTTTTGTGTATTTCGTTTGTTACTCGTGCATTTAACTAGGTGTCAAACTGTTAATTATTTTAAAACCCATACTTGTTTTAGTTGTAAATTTACAAGGTTAGGATTACCAATTTTTTTTTTATCTAATCTTGGTATATTATTTTTCTCCGATCACAGTATACGAGTATATATATGTAATACTATTATAGATATTTCTAAATATTGTATATTTTATATTTAATAATAATTTATTTTAATTTTATATACATATATATTTATTTTGAAAAATAAATTAATAACAATAATTAAACAAAAAAAAAAAAATGCGTCGAAATGTAGTTGCGTTAAATGACGTGCGTTGAAATGTGCCTTGTGCCCAATTGTCTCGCGTCGAAATGACGCGACACTGTTTAAAAGTTTCTCGTGTGACGTTTGTTTTTATGCAAAGAATACCAGGCATCATTTTTCAAGAGTACCTTTTTAGATAGATATATTATAATTAAACATGAGCCCGTGGTCTTCGAGAGCGGTTATTTTTGAAAATTCTCACATATTTATCTCGATATTAAAATAATATCTATAGGTATTTATTTGTGTTTACAATACGAATTTCATTTACAACAATAAAATTGTTTGTACGATTTGTATTATCGAGTTTTATCGGCAAAAACTCATCCGTCAATTCCTTCGAGTTCATTTTCTAACAGTTAGATTAGGTACTGTAAAACGCTCGTTTTCCGTTACCTATCTATTTTTGATTACAAGTTATAAAAGGCTTAAAAGGATTATATAATTTGTCCGGAGAAAATTATCTCAAATCTCCGAGTGTATTTCACATCTAAAGTTAATCGAATACAATATAATATGTGCAATATTATATTATCTATATTGTGTATCCGCTCAATTACACAAATACCGCACTGTTGTAAAGTTTGTAATATAGCCTTGAGCTCCGCTAAGTCTTTCTCTCGCATACATATTATATTTGTTTTTTTTTTTTTGTTCCGTTTTCTAATTTATATTATTACTGTCATTTATATATTTATAAAAATAAGAATGACAATAATATAAATGTAACAATAAGAAAAGTCTTTGTGATCCTATAAAGCAGTGAGGCAAAAGCTCTTAAAACAAATATCATATATGTACATACCTTCATTCATAACGGGTTTTTTTCGTCTATCCATCGATTTTAATTGACTGGTACATAATATTATATAAATCAGGGATGATAATATTCATGTAGCGTACAGTATGTATATACAACATTTTTACATTTGATAAACAATTTAATGATCAATATTTCTATATAAATTTCTTGATCTTTATTTTATGTATATCATTTTTTTTTTTTATATCAATTTATGTACTTGCGAGTTGTAATTTTCTTACTATTAAACCGAAAATGCATGTGCACTAAGTTATACAAATAATACAAATTTGGAATAAATAATAGGTTCCTAAGTAAATTATATTACAGCTTATGTTAGGTGTTAGTATATATCAACTAGGTATACATTGTATATACTGTTTAATGTTAATGTTTTACAGCTAAACTGGACATGACAGGGTATAAAAGAGCGTGATAAAAAATAAAAATGTAAAACATTAATTGTATAAATATATTATAATAATAGTAGGTTTTATACGTAAATTGGATGGAAGTTAATGGGGAAGTTATTCGCACTAAGTGTTATACGTATAAAACTAATGGTTTCATAATGTACATTGTATACGTATGTATGAAGCGTATTACACGTATATCATATAGTAGACCGTATTATCCGTTACAACCTTGATATACTATGCATTTTACTAGCAACAAGTAGGACGGGGTCTTAGGGGGTCCTTATGGATCTTAATACACCACTTATGGTGCAGTATTTAGCTATGCACACGCTCATTTTTATTTTATTGGTAAAAAGTCTAATTTTGTAATTTGATAAGCCGTATCGTTATGGTTGTATTCTTCATCTACATAAATCAATTTACTAGGTGATATCGATTATTAAAAATCGTAAATAGCGTATGATGGACTTTGAACGGAAAAATGCAATTTTGAAATACTTATATTCTCTTTACATTCCTTAATGTTCTGAGAACATTGAAATTTAAATCAAGTATTGGAAAAACTTATAATGAATTTATGGGTTTATTTTTTATTATTATTATTTTTTTTAATAATCATTGATAAATTGAATCAAATATTAATAAAAATAAATTATTAATATGGACCTAGGTGGCAACCCCAGTCCACCCTATTGATTATTAATTATTTATCTACAATAATGAAAAGTGAAGTGTAATTGAGATTGCTATTGTAAATATAATTAGTATATTATATTGTATAGTAATATTATATTATTTTATTAGCGAGATGGTGAGATTTTGAAGTTTAACGTTGAACTTTACGAACAACTATAGTTTGCTATTTTACTATAGTTGATACCAGAGCATCGTGTAAACGACCAGCCAGATTTTAACTGTTAACTAACAACATTATTACGTTTTTAACCAACAAAACGAATATTTCATTTTTGCTAGCAGTTAAACTACTAGTTATTAGTAAAAAAAAAAAAAAAAAACCAAGAGGTGGTATCCCGGCGTCTTTTGTTGTATTCCGATTGGTCGTAAAATCGAAAAAGGTATCTATAACATTCGGTAACCAAGAATTACTCCTGCGAAATTTCCAGCGTTGAGTCGTGAAATGTTTGCAATAGTTGATTTTTTCTGTGTTATTAGCATAATATATACAATCGGGTGGTGGTCATAGCTATATAGTTTATTATAATAATAAAATTATGCTATACACCAATATATTTTTAAAGTTTATTATTAATTATTAATCAGGTACCTATATAATATTATTTGACTTCATTTTTCAATTGACAATGTACATTGTACATTAATATAAAATAATATATTGTAAATTAATTTACCCGTAAACCTATATTCATATTTGTCCGCCCAAACGGTCTACGCCCATGGAATGACACTTCTCAGCGCGGTCTAAAAACGCTGGAATGGTTGACCAAAATAGAACCATCTTTTTAAATGAATTAAATTTCAATGTTTCTCTAGAGCGTTTTATGAGCACATCCTCTTTGGCGTTAGTGTTACTACTATAATATCCGTACAGTCAACGCGATATATTATATCGAGCTACATAATTTCCGAGCTAATTTCAATCTACAGAGTAGATATTAATACAATAGATAATAATGTATTATGTCTATATAGTGCACAATATAATATTATAGAGGTATAATTCAATTTATTTGTATGCGATGTGTTCTGTATATTCATTAATATTATTATTCTTTTTTATTAACTACTATATCCATATTTGGAGTAGGTGGAGTGCACATGTTATTCAGTGGGCAAACGATGCCTATGATCTTAATAAATTTATTGTATACAATCGGGTTATAAAATTTATTGTACCGCTCTAAGGTTTCATTAAAATTATTATTTGTGCGCGATCGCATTTATAGTATAGTAGAGCCAGAAGACTTGCAGTATGTATATATATATTCTATAATAATAATATCTTATACTCCGTATAACGTATATCTCTAATAATAATAACTGCAGTTGTCAAACTATAAACGATACGGGTCTTAAACAAGTGTGTTTTAAATTTAAAACGAAAATTATGTATATAATATGTATCATTTAAACGTGTTATGCAAAATAGCTTCTTTATATTCCTCCAGAAAAAAAAAAAATCACCTTAAAATAGAACGGAATTTAATTTTTGCAATTTTTGTTTTACATTCTGTAAAACAACCTGTACATGTGAAGTTAGATGGCTTGACGGCCAGCTAGGCTGACCGTGACGACTGCCGCTAAAAGCCTAATTCGTACAATATAACTTAACGCTAAGTTACACATTTCGGGTATGAACTTATATTTACCTACAAATAATGGGCTATAATTTACAGTTCGTCTGGAACGATTTGACCGTGAGGAAGACAACTTGATAGACGTCCCGTGCATAATTATTATTTATTACAAAAATAGTGTTTTAATTATTAAACGCACGAAATCCAAATATATTGTCAATATAACTGTTAATATAAATTGTAACTTTCGTTACCTATACAATAATAATATAACGGTAAGGATTAAAATTACTGTCGTGAATGCATTCGAAATTATTTGTATACCTATACAGTTTTAACGAATACCTACTGCAATATATTGTTTATACTTTAGAAAATGATTCTTTCAAAAAAAAAAAAAAAATCCGTTGAAATTTAAGTTGGTATCTGTATATAGTAGTCGTATATTATTTATGTTTTCATATTATACGTTAATACTTGGGTTATTATTCATAATGAATTTAGTAAGTAGCAAAGTTGTAATAAATCATCACTGTATATGTATAGAATAGGTACTCGTATTTCACGTCGTTAAAAAACTAAAAAAGAATGTATATTTTCAACGAGTGATTCAGTATATTATCATATCGGTACTTAATAATATGTACTGTATTTCTGTATTTTATAATATCTATATGTGTAGCATTCGAACGTTTGTAGATAAATATAAGTATATTTGGTTTTTTTTAATTGCATTATTATTCGAATTTCACAAAAAAATTATATTATTACGATACTAATAACGATGGGCGGCCACGGTGATTATATTCAACGATTGTTCCAGCATAGGTACCATTATAATATGAATTATTAGCGGCATGTGGCGAGGTGCATAAAACAACGCTACCGTAATAGTATTTATGAGGAACGTCTATAACTCATTAATAAAAAAAAAAAACGTTTAAACCTCCGTTAGATGCTTATAAGTAATACCGCGGGCGAACGTTTTCCATGTATGGTAAAGGCAACACTACACCTGCAGGATTCCGGAAGCTGCAGTACAGAATAAACGGTTTCGATTTTTTTTCCTCCGTCGTCCATTCGCCGTTTTACCGCGTCGTTTTTTTTTCTTTTATTCGTCGTGTGTAGTGAACGGATTCTATCGTTAACACATACATTTATCGGAATGCGAAATATTTTTAATCCGATAAAAAATGCTCACTATAATTTTCAGATAATTTCCTCCATTTTTTCCCCGTATGGTTTTCATTCGATTTTCGACGACAATAAAAATTATCTGCGTTATCTGTAAATGACATTCATTTGTCAACATTGGATAACGATAGATAATGCTACAGTATAATGTTATGCCTAGATATTCTACTAATATCAGATCTTTGCATTCTTTGTATTCTTTGCATCGTAGCTGATATTTTTCGTCTCCGTGTGTCGGATTTGTGTAGTTATTTTTGTAAACAATTGTTTAGAATGCCTATAGTCACGAGTATATTAAATAATAAGGCTTTTTTTAAAATTATTTTATTTATTTTTTTATTTTTGTGAAGCGGTATTTACATATTGCTTTAATTTATTTACATATTATGCCAATAAAAATAAATACATATTATAGGTTTTTTATTACATTAAAATGCGTTCTCTAATTATATAAGAAAATAATGTTATAGATGGGTACGTCGGTTTACATAATATTATGTGATACAGTAAAATGTCGCGTCGTCTAACCCAGTTTTCCTCACTGTTGATCGATCAAATATTATAATATTATCATTATCATTACCCTTGTATTTCTTTAATCAATATATTATATTTGTTATTGATAATTAATAATAGAGCTTTTGACGTTTTATTTTTTTATTGCCGAGGTGCGTACCTTTTCTGCGATTTTCCATTTCTCTTGTATTATATACTGTCTATTATGTATTATAACCCAAACTTCAATCGCTCATTATCATAAATAATAATACCCGTGCAATATATTATTATTATTATTATTTGTTATGCGTATTATATTATTTATATATCATTATTTACAATCAATATTCGATATTTATTATGCTATCAACGTTTTACGAAAAACTTAATTTGTTATCCGTGAAAGCGCTGTCTCGATTCTTCAGAATAACACATAATATGAAATCGATAAAAATTGAATTTTTTACAACAAACATTTTCCGTTTTATTTAAAAAAATCTTAAAATATAATTCAATATGTAGGTACATTTATTCCCACTCCCTCCCTGAACGAGGGCTGGATGTAGTCCGTGCAAGCTTTTGAGATAACCTCGATCGGTCGGTTGACTTTTTATTTACAATAAACTAAGTGTATTTGCAGGATTCTATGATATTTTTATGTAGTTACGTAGAAAATTGTCAAATTCTGTAGGTACGCCTTGTATAAAAAATAATACAATATTTTCTGCACAAAGTATACAATTTTCTATACAAACCCACTTATACAGGGCGTTCCACTAAAATATACCCATTGTAATAATATATTCGGACATAATAAAGATGGTCAAATTCTGTTTTTTTTTTTACATTACTCACAGGGATATGGGTTATAAAAATTTATTATTAAATTATTTTATATGTTTTAAAAAGAAAATTAAAAAAATAGCTTTCCACTAATATACTATGATGAACTATACTATGGTTATACATACTATGACAATTATTCGTTTGTTGATCTCACGATTTTGAGGGAAAAACAATTTAGTTAGCAATTTAGTAGTAACGGTATCGTTTAAAAAAAACGGTTATTAAAGCAATTAAAATTATACACGCTTAATGTTGTATAATATATCACTTGTGTGTTCACATGTGAATTTATAAATGTGTCATTGTTAAAACAGTCGTCACTATAAGCCTCGTCGTTATAATAAATATTTTGTTATATTATTACAGGACCAATTGCCAGTATTTTCGTAAACAAATACGGTTGTCGCGCGGTAACCATTGTCGGAGCCATATTGGCTAGCGTGTGTATGATGGCCAGTGTATTAGCCAACAATTTGATCACTCTGTACATAACCATCGGATTTGGGACAGGTAAATTATTATTATTTTTTTAATTTTGTAGAAAATATATATATATATATATAAAAAAAAAAGCGCCCAGTCGGCTGTGCATCGTATGCAACGTATCGATATCGATTTATTAAGTATATCTAAACCTTAATTAACCAGAGTGTGAGAAGTTAAATATCATTTGCCATTTATTATACCTATTGCGGGTTCGCCTATAATTAATTAAGCTTCCTATTTGTCCGAACCGGTAATTCAAATCGATTCGCGGTGTAAAAAAAAAAAAAAATGGGGCCCTATAATTTTCAAAAAAATAGTTATTTAAAAGTTCATTAAGTTTAAAACGAACACAAAATAGTTTTACTGAACGTCATATTATAGTTTCTTAGAAAGTGATATCAATATCAAGACCTCGTACGAAGCAATAATATTGGAATATTTGAGGTTATGTTCTATGATTATTTTACCTTATCAGACGTACCGGGGAAGAACTGATCCCGTCTTTATTAATATGAATTTTCGGTACACTATATTTTCTGTATTCCTACATTCTGCCTTTTTTTTCCCTAGAACTTTATATGCGTTTAAAAAATATATATATATTAATTTCTATTTGAATCTGTGTGGTATTTCGTTAATTAATTTATGTATATTATATGCATTGTATATACCTACTTAACATAAACGATAAAACATATAAAACAAAATCGAAATCAAAAAAGTTTTGAACAATAACATAATGTTATTGTTATTGTCGCTTGTAAGGTGGTATTGTTATAATAATATAGCCTTGAATAGTGTTCGCAATGATAATTAAAAAATAATAATAATCGCAAATATCACAATATTCCTGCATACATATAATATTACGACGATGCTATTGTTCGTTTATCGCCAGCCGATGATTATCTATAGATAATACGAAACTGTTGAGTTAATTTTGATTTTGTATTTTTTTTTCAACAGATTCGGTATCGTAATGATTTTATTTAAAGAATTTTCGATATTTTACTAACACAACAGTATTTGTATACAAACATACAATGATATATTACTAATCGTGTCAATTATAAACCGATTTTCAAATAGTAGTCCGTATTTTTTCCTTATCTCTATTATTCTGAGTGGAATGAGTAATATATATTGGTTTTATTATGATGTTTATTATTATTATTATTTTTTTTTTATATACTGTGTAAAAAAATTCTATCAGAAATGTTGCTTCGATATATACGTGCGGTACCATTTCTGAAAGGAAATATTGTTTAGATGGTACTTTAAAGAGGTCAGTTTTTGATTTTCTTAGCGGTTTTCATAATATTTGGTAAAAACCCGGATAAAAAGTAAGAAAAACGGGAAATTTACGAAAATAATTCTTTTATTATTTTCAAATGTTGTTATTTGTTGTAATTCAGTTAAAAATATTTGTAGAAACTTAAAATTTGGACTGAAAACTTATATTTACCTTTTCTAAACATGGTAACATTTTTAAAACATTAAAATCATTTTTTTGATTTTCCCTGGAGTGTTTTCCCGATAAATGGAAAAATCCGAAAAATAGGTATAATATTAAACAAATAAAAAAGAAAATATATAATGCATACTATGCTATCATTTTATCATAATGTGACTTATATATATATTGTTAATAAAGCAACATTATTATTATTAACCTAACTCTGCTTATAATCATTTTACGTTAGCAATGGTTAACCGTTGCGTACAGATATACATTAAATTTCCCCTCTACCTTCCCAACTTGTTACCTACAAAAGTAGCTCACCCGCGTGCGAAGTCCGTGTCCGTCTTTATTTTTTAGTCGTTTCTTTTTAAAAGTGAATATGTACTCATGATTATTCTTATTTTGTTACTTAAAATCACGATTAGTGTATAATATAACAAATATATGCAGGGAAGTTCGATACAAGTTTTCATCCGTGTTTCCATTAGCAGTATAGACAATCGCTGGTTCGTTGTGAAAATAAAACTACCTCTGCATATTAATATTTTACGCAATTTAGTTGTGTTCAAGCGAAATAAAGTACATTATACTAGGTCCCTGACAGTATAACGAGATTTCGGTTGGATTGCCACGCAGTTGCTAAAATAGGAATTTACAAACAATTATTAATGAAAACTTAATATTAATTAGTTGCGATATTATTATTTCCTCTTTGTGCGTTATTGGATTATTGTAATAAACGGTTAACGCTTTTTGCACAACGTTCATATACCGGCAAATAATATGGTATTATATTGGATTATCACCGTCCGTTATTGTATATTCGGTTTAAGAATATTTTATTTAATTATTGTTGTTGAATCAAAATTGAATTATAAAAAAAAAAATACACCTCTTTTTCTATGTTGTATTATTTTTTTTAAAAAATTTGAAATGTTCAACATTAAACACAAGGCTAACGTTTTTTTTTTTTTTTTTTATTATTATTAAATTAGTGATTCGGGAGGAATAAGCATTTAGCACTAGAGATGCGTAAAACACGCGGTTTTTGCCTTCGAGTTATTTTATGTGTTTCGTATTGTAAAATAAAAACACCGTACTTCTCGTATCTCTACTTCTTCTTATGTTAGGTTAAGCCGTCGTAAAACTATTCGATCTGCGTCAGGAAAAAAAAAATTATATAATTCATAATACGTTACGCAAATTGTCTTGAATGTCGTTGCAACTTGCAGTGTCAATTTTTTATTTTTCAGTTTAATTTTTTCCTTGTATAGACAAGGGGAAAATATATACAGCTTAGATTTGCAAATATTTTCCGCGCACCGCCCTTAACGCTTTTTCCCAGTAGTTCCTTATAAGAAAATTTAGAATTTCAAGGAAATACTCGTAATTAGTTGTTTAACACGTTCGCTTTAAATCATTTCCATTAACGTGCCATGACGATTATTATACACGTATAACACGCGGATGCATTCACATTTTTATATTAAACGTATAATATTTGTCTGAATCGGATATAACTAAGGAATCCAAAACGTACAGATTTATAGTTTAATTGAAACTGAAGTCACGTCAAAACATAATATTTATTAATACATTTATAAATCACTAATTTACCAAATATAAAACATGGCTTTATATCTGTATTGTATATATTCCAAAATCAGCGATCCAATATACACATTTGTATATTGCGTTTAGAAATCGATCGGTGCAGTTGTTGACGTAGGTACCTTTGTATATCTTTATTTCTATATCATAATTTTTCGATTTTCGGATAATGTTCCGCGTCCTTTCATTACTATAAGTTTTCCCGTTTCAAACGCGATATTTAAATATTGGTCTTATCTCGGCAGGATTTTATTTGAGGAAGCTACGTGCGAACTTTATGAACGAACTATATGAACTTTTTGAACTTTCTTCACTCTATGCGTACGATCGTACGGATAGATTTTGGACTAGGTACGTTATCCGTGCCCAACTATTTGGCTATAATACAAACTCTTTTTTTTCTCTTCTTTTTTTTTTTACTAACTGTAAATTAATTTTTTTCCTCCGCGGACAATTATATCATATCATGTTCATTGTGTTCGATTGGACAGGTATCCAACCGATACTGTAGTCGAGAATAGTACCTATAGTATGTTGAAAATATTAAATAGTAATAATCACTTAGCGATGTAGTATTGCGTGTCGGTCTTGTGTAGTTTTGTCGATATCGGTGCAAAATATATTTTAATGTTACTTACAATATATTCAGTATAGGTAATTTGATATATTGTATTTTGTTATCCAATCACGTGCACACGTGTATTATGTGCGTCTTTGTGGTTTGTCAATAGTCTCGTGTTTAACACATCGAGACATTTTGCTTAATTCGTGGCGACATGTACCCGAAGACGATAATAATCCGATTAAGCAGACGAAATTTTGAAAATGTCGTATTATTATTATTATTATTATACATAAACTAGACATTTTTTTTTTTCATCAAAACGTGTAAGGCACACGAAACACATTGGAATTACATAATAATTACATAATTTGTTCGTATTTATAATAATTTTACTTTGATAATTTTTAGAAGAAATTAATTTGTGTATAATTGATTTAATTATAATTATTAATATTATATTTTCCCTTACGTTAATAATACCCTACGTCGAAAAATCGTAATTCCATTTCAATTGACTCGCGATAGCGAACAATTTTTATTAAATCGTATCTACCGAGTCATATAATAATACTGTATATAAGTATATAAATTCTGACGTAAAGGTATTTGTGTATTTTTATTTTATTTTTTAGAAACCTTACAATGCCACAGAATTATAATACAATATAATATATATATATATATTAATCGGAGTTATTATAATAACACTTTTAAGTGATAGTAATTGTCATCGCATGCTATCATTATTCTATATATTGCACAGTTTATATGATGTGTCTGCTTTGTCTCTAGTGAAATTATAATGATAATTGGCAATGTTGTATTCCGCACGTGCCTACTGTTTTCATGTTATGCGTTTGTTATAATAGTATAGGAGTCCAAGATTTATTCATCATAATTACGAGACATTTTAAATCGTACTTAAAATTTACATATGCTGTAACAAACCATGTGACGGGTGGAGAGGGAGGGAGATAATGGTAAGGATAACGTAGCTTTCAAAATTAAAAAGTTATCGAATCGAATTGAATTATTACTTTTTGGTAGTTTTTTGTACCTAAAATATAATATTGCAACCAAACTGACATATTAATATATGTTAACATAGTAAAAAAATTGAATTTGTTACAGTAATACTTAATACCGAATCCATAATACTATGGTAGGCTACCAGTAATACTGGTAGGCCCTAGGCGTGCTAACTGCTAGTCGATATAGTAAAAAAAGTAACAAAAAGAAACGAAAAAAAAACTTCAAGTTCTGATTTTATATTATGAGATTATAAAGATTAATATTAATTAATTTAATCTAAATACATGTTGCAGATAAAATTATTCAATTTGACTTGATATTATTGGTAAAACAAATTTAAATTATATAATTTTATATAATTCAAGAAATAAGAGAAATTAAGAGACATATGAAATGGATGATTAAAAATAAGGGACGAAAGTGTTGTTTAGAAAATTTGGTCGGAATACCGGGACGCTTAATTCAAACACGGGACAGTCCCTTATAATACGAGACGTACTTGTGGGTTCTCTATAGTAGTATATATAATATTTTGTTCCCTGCCGGGTAGTACCTACGTAATTTTTAATTTTGTTCGTTCGTTACGATTATAAACGAAACGTAAATGAATTTCGAACATTTATACAAAATGTATGTACAAATTACAGACACGCAGTCTACTCCTGTATAGTATGCATTATAATTTCAAGAAGTGGGTACCCCGTCGAAACTCTGTATAGTAGCGTACAATTTCGAAGACCATGCAGTCCATTGACGGAAATTGTGAAATTACTAATTAATAATTAGTAATTTGAGGGGGAATAATTTTTCTGTTTAAACGTTTTTAGAGGACAAGAGCTCTTCAAGCCCTCCCCTCTCCCAATGTTCACCAATACCCTGTATATATTGTTATAATACGTTTAATTCTAATAATTATTATTAATTGAACGTTAATAAAACGATGTTGATCGTAAAGATTACTATTAGTATTTTAATAATATTGTTTACTCGTTTGTTTTTAGACACTCATTAAAAAAAAAAAACAACAAACAGAATAGCTGGTATATATTCGAATATTTGTATATACCATATGCGTCGTAATTTTTATTTTAAAACAAATATAAAACAGAATAAATGAACATTTTTTAAATTCATATATCTATACATATAGTCATTTTTATATATATTATACTTAACACTTATTATATTCTTGCGAATAAATCTAGAAGAATTTCGTATTATTGTTTTTTGACGCGAGTGCATTTAATTTCCAGGAAAATGAATAATAATAAACGTCGTCGAGCGAATAATTTTCACGTTATTAAAAATTCGGTATTGTTATTGCCATAAATTTGTTCTACAGTATACTATATAACATCCTGTGTCCCTTATAATAAATATTTTTTTTATCTTATGGTTTATAAACTACTGTTTATTGGGAAGCAAAAATCAATATTACAGACAAATTATATTAAATATACCAAAATAAAACACTCAAATTTTTTTTTTTTAAAAAAAAAGAGTATTGTAAATTATTATTGAGAATTTTAGATTCTGAGCAAAGGGCAAAATGTATTGGTTTTAAAACGATGTTTATTATGATTTTTTTTTCTGTGAACAAATTTTCTTCCAGAATTCTTTCTCTGATTTTTAAGTGTAGCACCTTTTCTAAAAGGAAATTTTATTTGGGTGTTATTTTTTGATATTATAAGAGGTTTTTATAATAATTGGAAAAAAAATGTAGGAAAACGAGAACATTTCCGAAATTTATAATTTTCAATTTGTTTTTTTATTGTGATTCAGTTACAAAATATTGTTAGACCAAACAGAAATGCTTGGAAATTTAACAGGAAGTTCATTATATTTGTATTTGTGGTAAAAAAAAAAAAAAAAATTGAGTGTAATGTATAAGTGTGTATTTTATAAGAATTTCAATATCAAATTTTGACGAAAATCGTAAATATTACAAAACCCTTCAGAACATATATAATCAAACTCCGTTCAGAATCGTTTTTCTTTAGAAAATATTAATCGTTACGTAGGTAAAGATATGTAGGTGTACATTAAATTCCCCTCTATATCCTACTTTCCCAACTTCTCATTTAGATAAAACAGTGGCCCACCCATCGTGTATGTCCATCTCTTTTTTTAGTTAAAATTCCTGATATTAAATAAAATGACTGTATTATCGACTTAATAGCATAAGTGGTTAATAATATATCGCAAATTTTTAATTTTTTTTTGGAAAAAACTATTTAAGATTTTACCCGTGATTTGTCAACAAAACGTTGAGAGTATACCGCGTATGGCAATACCGAAGATTAAAATATAATAGTTTTATATAGTATTTATATATTATTATAATTTTGTATAGTATATATTAATATTATAGTTATAACAGAATACTTATCGAAATTACGATAAAGCATAATATGTATTGTATATGTAACGAAATCAATAAAACTCGTAGAAATAATACGAACAAAATAATGATTCTATTTACTATAGTATACGATTGTGTTTTCATTATTTTATTTTATTTTATTCTTTGCCACATCGTTAAAAAAAACTAATTTGCCCCATTTTTGCTTTATAAAACGTAATTACAATGACGTGCGTCGTATCGCGACTGTTAACTATTATTGAATTATTTGTGTGACTGTTATAATATGTAAGAAAAAAATGGAATAATCGTATCGATTATAATATTGTTGTATTATGTTGTCCTCCATGTCTTTTAAATGGTATATTTTCGGTGTGTAACGTCCCGTAGCCGGGGCAAAAATCAATAGGCCCGAGATAATATATTATACTATTTTTATCATTCTGACATTTGTATAATATAATAGGGAAAAAATCCATTGTATATTGATTGATAGAATTTATTCTTACTCATAGTGCTTACACATTGCAAGACGCATTGAAATGATAAATATATCGTACAGTTGTGTATTCATGAACCGACAACGTTTCAACGTCAAACGTATTAACAGAAATGCAGTTACATATAATATATATATTTAAATAAAAATAACCGAAACTACTCGGATACAGGCCGGCATCCTTTTTGGACTCTCGGGACACGTTCAAAAATTAAAACGCATTCGCGGACCGGATCGGATAAGAATACAAATTTAATATAGGCGTGGTCTTATTTTAATATTCTTTAATACAATTTAGGATGTTACGATGTTATACAAAAATATGGAAATTATGACTGTCCAGTGAAGATGTCTAATCAATTATGCGATTTTTGTTGTCGAATATCGTTCGCTATTTTTTCAATAATTTTCGGATCGAAATTGCTCGTGTCCGCTTCAATAAAACACACGCGATGCAGATGAAAATCTGTTAAACGCGATCGTGGGGGTTTTATATATACATTTTTTTTTCATATGAGAAAAAGCCTATTTACACGCGTATGTATAGATACAAATATGCTTTGGTATTTGATAGCTACATTTCTAACTTACGAAAATTACTGAGGTAGTTTAGCGAAAAAAAAAGGAAAGGCGATTGAGTTTGAATGAGTTTTTAAGAACAATCATATGCGACACGTGACTGTAAATCTATTATTTCCATTTGAAGTTCAACAGGAACACCGTCGATTTAAAATAAAAACGGTTTATCATATTAATATTTTTTTTGAAATTATTTTAAATTTTTGAAATTATTTTAAATATTTAAAATTGTTTTTGTAGAATGTATACAATTGAAGAATATATATTCAATTAAATTTCGCTATTTTTGAGCGGGCTAACTATACTATCTAAACTATTCGAGCATATTCATTTATTTTTCGTATTTTAACATATTTAAATGCTTTTAATGTATGATATACTCGTATATATATTACTTGCATTTTAATTTTCTAATTCAAGACGATAATTTGAAACGTTTTCCCGGTCGAAACATAAATTTTGAAACGAAATTGATATTATCATAGCACCTATCTGGATAACAATTTTAACAATTTCACTGTTCCCATGAAAAGACGTAGGTATCGGATAGTAAAACAGAGTTACGCCGTTTATTATTGTTATTTTTATTTTTTTGATATACCCTACCGACGCAAGTTTTTACGATTTATAAATTATATGAAAACATTGTTTTAAATTACTTTTCGACCACCTTTCAGAGTTCGACCGTATTACATACCGACCTACGATTTATACTTTTTCACCCTTTACACGTATTATTATCGATTGGTTTAGTTTTTTTTTTTTTTTTTTTTTGTAAATTTATTTTCATCATTTTATGTTCGCCAAAACTCTATTATAGGTGGTAATGTGTTTTTGAAAAAAAACTTCTTATGGGAGTATTTGAACTGAAAATGTTTGATAGAAGTCGATTTCAAGTGATAGTTATACAAGTCCCGAACCCCGATTACAATGAAACCGCAGAGAGCTACGTGATATTTTCTCTGCTGCATGAGGAAACATTCAATCATATATAGAGTGTGCTACCGTGTTCTATGGATTTTTATCTCTGTTATAATGTTCTATTTTTTCCAATCAAATTTTGTATACTGTAACGAAAAAATTGTTCAGAATTGGTATTTAGAATTAGTTTAGGTGGTTTTGACACTGTTGTGATAGGAATAGAATGTAGCGTGAGCGGTGAAGTAGTGGTAATGGAGTGATACTGTAAAAATTCGGTTATACAAAAAAATTGTTATATCCGTAGCAAAAATGTAATAAAATATAATATGTTTAAAAATTACAACAATTTCTTTCCGTTGTGGTAAATTTCAAAATAATTAACCAAATTATCCTATGTATACAACATTACGTTGCCTTTAAAAATGTAAATATACCATGGATATCTGTTGGAAGGTTGTACAATGTATTAGGCAAGTATACCATATCTCTAAAAATGTTTTGTCAGAGCCCACTCGTATTCGTCTGTTTAAATATTTTCATAATTACTTAAATATTATTACAAACGTCTGTTTTTTTTTTTTAAATTCCACTATTAGGAAGTCTATCTGTGCTTATCTTCTATATATAAAACATAAATCATTATCAGCGATATTGCTGCGTTGCAAATAAAACGACTAGATGCTTTTAAAATTGTTTAGGTGACTGAGTAATGATTTTTTTCCTACGTCTTGTTGAAAAAAAAAAATTAAGGATAAAAAGATTAATAAACGTTCACGCATTATGTTTTTACATATATTTATTATAATTTCCATGGATTATTATTTTCCAGAATCATTTTTATGATTATTTAAAATAAAAACTGTTTATTTTTTCCACAGTAATAAATGTATTTTTTTCACTTTATATACACGAACACAACGACCTGTATCCTGTACGTGTTAGTTTTGTGTTTCATCGTTGTATATGTTTGATAAATTTATTACTCTTTATACAATATAATAACCCCTTTCTATATGATAAATTGGCAATATTACTAAACTGAGCTCGGGTACTTATTCTTTGTTTCATAAACCCCTCTTTGACGCATTAAGCTCAAAGTAAACGTAGTAATTCATTACTTATTTATATGTTTGTTTCATCTCGTTCCCTTAAAATACTTGTATCTATAGGTCCTATATCTATACATATGTAGGTAATATTGTACTATAAACTTACACCGGACAGGTATAATGTACTTATACCGTTATATACGTAGATAATATATTATAGCGAATTTTTACTGTTTTCGGTGTACGATTTATCATTTTCTATAATATAGATATAGCGGTTTTAGACTTTATCGATAACCGTAGCTCAAGTCCTATAATACCCTTATATATTCGTGTACAAAAGTTACTAAACTTTATACAGTATAATACTATGGCATGGTACACACGATGAAAAGGGCCGGGTTTAGATTTATAATTTTATCATGTCCAAAACAAGGACAACGTGTTTTGCAGGTTTTAAAAATAATATGTTTTAGGTCATCGTGGTTATGATATATAACTGTATAGTTATTCGTCGTGTAGTGGTTTTACTATATTGTAATGCGTTTTTTTTTTCTGTCTAAACAATTTTTCCATGACAAATTTTACTCTGAAGTCGCAAATGTAACAACATTTCTGAAAGAAAATCTAATTGATGGTTTGCAGTGTAGTTTTTTTGATTTTTCTTGAAGTTTTCTTAGTAATTGGAAAACATTGATGTTGAGTTATTTATGGACATTTGATATTAACGAGTTTATATTTGGTTTTGTTTAGTGGACAACATTGTTTTGGCTGAACAGAAATGCTTAAATTTAACAAAAAGTTTATTAAAAGTTGTACTTAGGTGTAAAAGCTGAGCGTTCAGTTTTTTTTTGTAAGTATTTTAATAAAAATTATAACAATCACGGCATTCAAAAACATATTTAATCGAACTTTACTCAGAATCAGTTTTCGTTAGCATTAGTTAATGGTTGCGTACAGATTTAATTTAAATTTCTTGATGTATATCCCAATTTCCCAACTTCCTACTTACAATAATGACACACGCCCGTCAACAGTATCAGCTTTTTTTGTTTTTACGTTGTGTTTTTTTGTATTTGTACTTAAGCCGGTCCCACACGACTCGGTGTAATCGGCGAATATTCGTCAATCGTACTATTTTGCGAGTCGTGTGTGAGGTATTTAATCGTAAAGCACGACGATTATTTTTACTCGCCGAGTTACTCGCGGTTTCCTGTCGGTGTCGGATACAACACGAGTGCTGTGCTGATAAAAAATTTAATTTTGGATATTCCCTCAAAATAGACTATTATTTATTGTTAATATCATTATTTTAGCAGTAGTATTAGAAGTCGCACGTCATTCCCACACGAATCGTGCACTTGGCCAATCGGCTTCAATATTTAAATGATCTTTAATTATTATTATTTAATTTTTAAACATTTTTCCGATGGCTCTCGATTCATATCTTCCAACATATTTGAAGCATTATATCTTAAAACATAATATATACACTTATTATTGATATTTTTTTAAAATAATTTCAGGAATACTAGAAAAAATACTTACTTATCCCGATTTCGTTTTAAAGATAAAGTCCACCATCTTTTGATTTTCTTTTTGGTCTTAATTTTTAAATCATGTGCAGCACACACTACCGCAAATGCAGCACAAACAGTCTTTTCTTCGTCACTTTCCATTTTGGACTGTGGCAATTTTCGTATTTCATTATTTCGAATAAATATTTGGCGATTACGAGTCGTGTAGGAGCATTATCGATGACGAGCAAAGTATATACGATTGACAAATAATCGGCGAGCATACGAGTCGTGTAGGAGCAACATAATTACAAACATCGTATATTGTACAAACTTGGCAAGTACACTCGCCGAGTATGCGCTCGCAAAGCACACGAGTCGTGTGGGACCGGCTTTACAGATAACGTCGCGTCGTTTCGTTTTTGTATTAAATTTTATTACGTCTTCGAGTTTATATTGTATAATATCTTTGGCGATGGCCAGAGACTTTTTAATGATATTTTTTTAACAAATAAACCCAATAGTATTATTTTTTTTTTTACATTGTGTCATTTTTTTATTATTATTATTTTTTATTTAACGCGGTTTTAATGCGATGGTCTTTCTCATTGTATTCGGAGTTTGTCGCAAAAGGGATTTTCAATTTTCATTCGAAACACATAATTTATTCGTATTACATTTTCTTTTACGAAATTTATATACATGTAGGTATACACCCGTAGCTGCATACCGGAATCCGAAATAATTTAATTTATATTGTATAGGTACTTTTTTTTTTTTACGTAATGTTAAACGATTGTCTAATTTATTCGTTGACAGTATACTCGATATATTCTTGTTCCAAAATAATTTTACTGTTATATGATAGCTCTGGCGCCATAATTTGCCATAAAACGCACAAAAATGTTCACTTTTTCCACTAATAACTCGATTTAATATCTAGTCACGTCGCGTTCGCGATTCGTATGCAAATTAATATAAGTTTAATCGACTTTTCTTTTGCGCGCGTACGTAATACTTCCTAATTGGTAATCGATATTAATATTACCGTCATACAATCTTTTTTTACTTTTTTTGTAGATATTTTATTTGGACAATGACCTAGGAAAAACTGAAGCATCATATCTATGTATATACATCACGTTTAATTAAATAATTTTATATCGACTATCCAGTTTAAGAGTGCAACAACTCAAAGTAGGACTTTTTCAGAAGATCGATTTAAACATTTAATGAATATATGATCAACTTTAAAAGATGAAATAAATTAGGTATGAATACAATATTTTGCATACACTGCAGATATTATACTTTATGTATTTACTGTTACTAATACGTATCATATAAATACATGAATTAATTGCAATAATTAAACTTGATCCACTTTAGAATTGGATATGTCTAGCCAACATATGTTGTTTTAGAATTAAATAAGAAGAGACCTTTTTACGGCTCAATAATTTAACAAACTTTTGAGTTATTGCTATCTTGAACTGGGTACTCGATATTGTTCTAAACGACTATCATTGTGTCATTCACTCCTTGTATATTAATTTTTTGTTCTAAATTTCTTGTATAAGACAATTTGAAAATCGGTAGCTGATGATCATTCGATATTGTTCAGATAAGTTTTATAATGTATTTTTTACGACGGTATAATAAGATGTAATTGCAACGTTTTATTAGTTGTTTGTATCATCGACCACGTGAATATTATACATACAAAAATATTTCGGTTTCGATAGTTTTTTGTTAGAAAGAAAAGAAAAAGACGCAATTTTTAAAGACTATACAATTGTATAATAATATTGGCAATACCAACTTTATTTTACTTTCTAATTTTCCAATTAGAACCTGTATTGAAAATGACATATATAGATGGAGTGTTAGTTTAAATAAATGTCAGTGTCAACATTTTTGATTTCCGTCAACCCTTTGACGAGATATTCCGCTTTTAAGCTTAGGTTGAAGGAGACTATAGTGGGATATCATTTGTGTGGCGGCACGGCGCGTGGCGTTTTATTATAATGCTCCACTATATATTTTCCCCCTATACCTAAACTAAAAAGTGAAATATATCGCCAAAGGGTTTATGGAAATCAAAAATGTAAACGTCAAAATTTAATCACGCTGTATATTGTACGGATAAAAAACGTACATAATAGACTCGATTACACAATATAACACGATATATAATCGTGAATTTACTATAAAGTAAAATGAAAAAAAAAAAAATATATATATTTCATATCAGCTTATCTATACTAGTTATTTTTTTAGAATAGAGACTAAGTGATAACGTAATTCATATCACTGTGATGATAATGCAGATTATGCAATGTCGCCGTATCGGTTATAATTTTCTAAAAGCAGGGAAACCACAACAAATTAGAAATTACAATATAATGACTGCAATATATAGGTGATATATTGTTACTGTACTATCTGTAGTAACAAAATTAAAATAAAACCAAAATTGTATTTATCCTCCTCATTGACAGAAACCACGTATATGAGACTCTATTAAATATCTACCTTCATCGTATATTTCATTAAATTTCCTGGGCGGGGGGGGAGGGGGGTTGAATACCTAAAATTCCCCATTGTATGTACACGCGCCTTCATAGAAATACGTAATATATTGTCATATTTGTATAAGTTTAGCCGCGGGTTCGGGTAAATAATATATAACCGGCCGTCGGCGTAATTTTCTTATATCGAAGGCTTTCGAGCGGCGCGGTTAGACGCGGTTTTCGACACTGTCGCGAAAGGCGAAAACGGATTCGATCGATAATACTAAAAAATACAATCGTTCATCGCCGGCACGTCGTCAATTTTACAATTTTAATTCGCGAGTGACCCGTACCGGACATCCGTCTGGTCTTATTCCGACCTCTCGATACGGGATGTAGGTATAGTGTATTAAGCTGTTTTGATTTTTAATTTTTCTTTTTTTTTCGAATTAAGATTGGAAATTGCTTCCTTATTGTGGTCATCTCAAATTTTCGAAAAAAAAAATAATAATAATAATAATAAAAAAATGTTTACAACTTGCTCATCGCATATTTAGTTTTTCCATTTAAATAACTTAATAGGAAAATAACGATACTTTCAATTAAATCACATTTACTCGACAAGTTCGAAAGTTACGACGTTGTACAATATAGTTTTTAAACCAATAACGTACAATTAATAATTAATCTAAACAATGTTCTTACCTTTACTCTAATGTTAAAACTAACATCACAGAATTAACGAAAAGTATATATATATATATATATATAATGTAATTTCGTGAATTGGAAATTTCACCGATATAGAGTGTAACATTTGTATGTAGAACCGCTCAATCGGCCTAGATTTATAACCGATTCGCGAGATTACGAGATCGCGTTACGAGTAGGTACGACATTCGTACTAAAATTAAGCTTTCGGTTCGAAAGTTTTCTGCCTTTTAAGCATGACGGCTTCATACTAATGTACTTTTTCTATTTATTTTTTACTATATGATTATTTACCGAAATGATAAAAATGTCATATTTATATAATTTATTATGTGTATATAATGTTCGTTAAATGATCCGAAAAATATTTTTTCAGGTACATCAAAATTCAAATTAATACCAATAATAATTTAAAATTATAATAAATCAGTATTTTTTTCCCCAATAATTTACAAAATATTACAAAACATGCTGAATATACGAAAATATTCTCTAATCACTAAAATATCCCCAAATGTATTATACAAATAATATTTTTGTTGTAAACTTTTCCTGTGTTGAACGAATTGTCCACGTTTTTTTACACCCATAAGACTGCATGTACACTCAATTACAATATATAAGAACATAAAAATCCGGACTCTAATTATTATTACATAACTCGGCAGATAAAACGATACATACTACAAGACGAACAATTTAAACGGAATTATAACTATACATTTTTTTTTTTTATACAACTGTAACTAAAATAATTACTATTATTATATCTGGTACTCGTAAGTTGATACGAAAATTCGCGTCGTAGATCAACGCACTCCATATTAGTCGTTTATTATATAAAAAATTATCTGCAGTAATGTACGAATTGCCACCTATGAGATATCAGTCATTCCCAGACTTTTGAACTATTGTATAGGTTCCTCTCCTATTTCCACGTTATAGACCGATATCATCGAATCGCGGAAAACCTCAATATGTATATATATATATATATATATTTTTTTTTACGAATTAATCTTGCAGATAATTTTTTCGAAATAAGTTAATTATATACAATTGGCCAACCATTTATATTGTAAATAAATATTATTATTGTATTTTAGAAGGAAAAGTTTGTTGGAGAATTCCTAAGATTCTTTGCCAGTTTTTTTTTCTTTACGATATATAAATGATGATATATTTAGTGGCGTGTGCAGAAGTAGAGGTTACTCCTCTCCCCGACCATGGGCTTAAAAATACAATTACTAATGAGTAATTGTATAGTTTAGTTAAATTATAACTATAAGGAAAAAAACGTTTGATTTTGTTTGAATACTAATACGTTGTTTTTTGGATGCGGCTTTTAAATACTTGTGGTCGGGTTAGGTTTAACAGAACAAGATTATATACAGTTTTATTTATTGTTAAATTTACATTCGTCATCGTCTTTTATATAGGTACATATATTTACAGCGCCATCAATCCTCGATAGGGCACTCGTTATATCATAAAGTATTAACTTTCTTCAGAATTTTTTTTTATTTTCGGTGATTGAACCGCCATCATTGATTTTTTTTTGTAAAGATCCGCATTCAAAATTCTATAAAAACACGACGACGAAATAAATTTCGTTACGCCGCGCACTATAAGGTGCGGCAGAAAGTAAGAAAAAAATTAACCACTGCAAATCGTATACTGTGCCTAATAACACGATTTACTTTTTTAGTAACGCGATTGAACATTGAATACTTTATGTGACGTTGCCGAAATTTGTATAATTATTTTCCCGTATTGTTACACCAACTATTATATAGCACCAAATTTAAACGAGCCACGAGCTGTGTCCAGCCGAGTCCAGCTTTATCGATAGCAATAAATATAAGTTTTATTCGTTATCTACTGACCGTTATGGACGGTTATTATAGTAGTCACAGTATAGTGCGTTAATTATTATACTATTAATATTACCTATATTATTATCATTATTTATCAAACAGGTAAATTAACATAAAACGGCCATGAGAAATTATTATGTTATTTTTAACTCGTACAATAATATTTTGTATCATTATAATATAATTTAAATTGATATGTTTTGTGTAATTTAGTTGAAAATAATTGATAACACGACTACATCACATTTTTCATGCTCGATTCATGTAGGACGTTTTCTTTTGTATTTCTATTATGTCCCTTCAGTGGAACCGAACGCAGGTCGAGTGACCGCCCGGCTAAATTTTTTAGTGGTGGCTGGTGGAAATTATACACATAGTACGAGTAGTATTTGTAGAATACAAAACCTATAAAAATAATAGTACTATGAGTAATGTAATTTATAATACCCCAAGAAGATCAATATAGTATAGTATTGCCTTGTTTGCCCGAGTAGTTTTGAACTCCATCGGCGCCACCGTGTCTTTTGCTTCGCCGACAAATTCGCTCGATCGTGTCGTAACCGTTTTGCGTTTCAACGACGACGAATTACGGGGAGCGGAGAATGGGGATAGATCCCCCCCACGAGCCGTATTTATATAGTATACTGTTATTTTATACAAATTGAAAGTTCAAATGGAAAAGTCAAAATTACAAATGTTTATTTGTATTGGATATAGGCACCAAAATGTTCATAGTTCATTACTTTATACTACATATAGGTAAGCAACATTCTTAATAGTTTACGTCAAAATGAACGGTAGACCGCGCATTAAACTTTGCATACTTACCACGTGATTAGGACGTAGCGATTATAAACGTGCCATTTAAATAGAAAACTTTTCCGAGCACCGGTGACGGTAGTAGTTGAACGTCCGCAAGGGGCGCGGGGGACCAACCTACCGCGAGATCGCCACGGGGGATGTGTTTCGAAGACATCCCCCTCGCCCCTTAAAAACGTTCTCTGCAACTGCGCCACTGTCTCGATCCGCGCGCCAATCTTCTCGGCGCGCGCGTGTGTCCGCGGACCGCCCGCCGATCCTGAGAACCACTGCGCGCACCGCGGTGTTACGGCACGGCGCCACGGCCGGATTAGTTCGCGTAGCGCCGCCGTGTGACAATAATAATACGTAAATATCGCGCGTGCGTATCGCACGGCATAAGAGGCGATGAACGGGACGTCCAGATGGCGAACAATACCGTTATTATCATCATTATTATCGACGCACGACACGGTGAGTGTCGCGGCGTCCGTCCGTCCGTCCGTAAATAATTGACATTCGTATTGTGGTCATACACGTAGGCGCGCGACGGCGGCGGCGTAATTCTGTCGCCCGAGTCGGAACGTTTCAATTACGCGGTTTTTTTTTTCAATACTCGCCGACCGTATATTGCAGGCGGCGCCGAACGTCAATAGCGCGACCGCGCGTACGCATACGCGCAAATAAATACGCGCGCGGTGCAGCAGCTTCTCGGGCATTGTGCAATGGCTGTTTATAATAACTGTATACGATTGTGCGACTACGAGGCTCGGTTTGAAAGGAACAGAAAAAAACGATGTAGCGGCCCGGTCCTACTGATGTGTGCGATACGAAAAAAAAAAAAAAAAAAAAAACCCGCTCACGGACGGCAAGTCGGCACGGTAGCGCGCGTAAATTTATTCGATTTACATTATCCGTGTGTGTAGGACGACGACGACGACCCCGCGGCGACGATTAATCTTCGACGGCGGATTGTTTACGATATTCTGTGCGAAATTTCGAAACGTCGTCATTTTCGCGATTTTCTTCCGAGCGATAGGAACGCGCTCGCGGGAAATTCATCAGAGAAGGGCAGTGTCTTTAGGAAAGTTTCACACCGTTAATTGTCTAATTATTAAAATTAAATTTTAAATTCTAACGTCCAGGGATAGAGGCAAATGCCCCCCCCTCTCCCGGGCGCCCATGAATGCGCGCGCACTATAATTGTGCGCCGCGATCGTACTCGTGTACGTGGCATTTTCCGAAAACGAATATAATATTTTCATTAGAACGTGGTCCATTCGTCGTGTGTGTTTTTATGTTTTCAATGTTCCGTTCCACGTTCGCGTGTAATAGCTCCGTCGAATATGCATCAATTCTATTCTGATGATTTTTTATTTTGCGTTCGAACGAGTATACTATATACCTAATATAATAAATTCGATCAAAATCCGATAGAATATGTAATATTACCGACCGTCGTATTAACGCGATGATATTACCGAATCGATAAATTTAATGGGCCGCCGCTACGCCGTACGTGTTTTGCGCTCAATAGCCTCTACGTGCTATGTATCCGCATTGGATTTAATATACGACTAAAAATATCAAAATGAAAAAAAAAAAAAAATATATATATTTATGTATACTTTTAATATTATATTTTCTTTAAAGTCGACGACGAATTAATCATTAGATAGAGCGACGGAACCGAGAAACTCTAGTGATATTTAGTATAGGCCGGCGCAGCCATTACAACGGATACATACTGCAGTATTAGGTGTATATTATTATACGAATGCATTCGGCAGCTTCGAAGTAGGTGGATTTTCGTTTTGACATTGATTAGATTCGATCAAAATTATCGTTTTAACGTATGAAAACGTCGTGGACATAATCTGTTTATGAATGTTTATGATGATAATCGGACGATTTTGTTTGTATTTTTTTTTTTACATGCACGTGCCGGCGGAGTCATAGTATAGGTATAGGTATAGGTTATTAAATGAAATAAATTGATGTGTTTGCGTTCGCCGTTTCTTTCGGGTCACGTATAATATATTATAGTCACTATATATTTATCCGGAGGTCACGAAAAAATAAATAAATTCGAATTACGTTTTCCTTGTACATTTATAGACTTGTCGAGGTTGACTTGACCGCGATTCGGCATAAGTACACCCGAAAACGTGAAGTTTTCCAACGAATAAAATGAATTATATTATAATATTATACAAATGTGTGTATTGCGGAAAAAAGCCGAGATCGAGCAAATGTCGCGTACCAAATTATTGCGAAGGACTGCGAGCATATTGTAATTTATTAACATTTATTAGCAACAAATAAATAAATATATTTTTATGATTAAAAGCGAAATTATGCACCTACTTTTTTAATTGATCAATTTTCAATTACATTGGAACAATAATATTTATTTCATCGTTATTTTTCGCATAATATTATAATTATACTCAAATCAACATTATAATAAAATAATAAAATAAAAATACGGTGCCTACCTATACTTACTGTAAAAAATTGACATGTGTGGACGCTACGGTTTTGCCCGAATGAGGTTGGTCTCTATATACTTTATAGATTTGCCCGGGCAAAAGCCAATATGTATGACGTGTTTCGACCAAGTATATTGTGGGCGCTTTTACCCGGGCATTTCTAAGTTTCTTCTGATTTCGGCTTTTGCCTGTAACATATTATACACGCATGAAATCAAAATGATAAAATTCCAAAATATTATATGTATATATGGCCGTTCCCTCGGACGGTTATCGCGACCGCGGGGTATGCCTAACTATGTAGCTAGTAAAAACTAATCGATATAGCGAGACGAGAGCTATTTAACTCTGGTTTACTCCTCGGAAACATCTAATATTGGGCGTTAAATTTTACAATTATGTTAAAATTTGTTCGTAATGCGCCTGCGCAAAATCATTATATTAAAAGTATAAATATATGTATACAGTGAATACTCTTCATCGATATTTATTAATCCCCGGGCGTGTTTTTATACGATTAAATATAGTATCGACGGAATATATTGTAAAAATACAATTATTCTAAATTGCATTTTAACACTACAGAGAAATTAACTTACCATTATAAACCAGCGATATTCTTGAAAAATTTTAAGTAAATTTAATATAATTTATTTAATTACATTTTTACCCCGGCTCCTTTTACCTGAAATTATTATACACTTTGAGTTTACAAATAACAACCTCCCACCTCCTTTACAACACATATCGAGCATATTTTTCTACAAATTTCGATAGACACCGCACGAATATCGGATTTATCGTTTGTTAGCCATAACAGTTTCAAATTTAGACCGGAGGAGTAAGGAAGAATAATAGATTTCATATCCATTTTAAGGTGAACATTAATAATAAAGTATGATAGGCAATATAATTTCAAAAATATAACCGATGGTTTTTTACGATTTCTAGTAAAATAATTAATAATTTCGATTTACTATATAATATAGATATTATAGACAACCTAGACAATAGTATGATTAGTTTATGAAATTTAAAGTCGCCAAACACAATCCCTGCAACTGCGTCTGGGTTTTGGGTCTAAACCGACTAAAATATACACTGTGATTACCAATCCCCTTAAATTTAAAATTGTATTTATTATTATAATATTGTAACTGTATACGAAATAAATTACAAATGTCTGTGTTTTAAACATTGTTATGGCGCCAAAAAAGTTTTGTTTGCATAAAACCAGATACAGAAACCTCGAAAATTTCAGATGGTTATAAATATTAATAAATCGAAAACTGTCAGAAATGTTTGTTATAAATTTTACTGCGTCTAGAAAGAACTACTATATATTATATTAAGTTTTCGGTGAAAACCTCGCTATTAGTTTTTACTACAGGATTAAAAAAAAAAAAAAAAAAAAACAGAAATCGGTATGCGATTTTGCTATGTCCGTTTAGAAAAACTGAGACGATAAATACGTCTGATGTAATCTCGGGACGTACTTCCTTGAATAGATTTTTTTGATTTTCAATATCCACGAACGAAATAATCTGAAACAAAGACCCGATTTTCTGTAGAATACTAACATATTATTATTACTTATATAAAGTTTACAAAACGAATTGCATATGCGTACCAGGTGATTTATTTAAGTAGGTACACTCATTATTTCGGAAAGTATTAACTTTTTCCAGAATCTGTTTTCTAGAACATTTAAGAAACAAGTTACCTATACAATTTTATATTTATGTTATTTTTGGTTACCATATTTTTCGGAGGTAAAACCACTACCTACTTTTGATTTTCAAAAAGAACCTATGTTAAAAAGTCCATAAATAGATGGAATATTAGTTAAAATCAATTTTAGTCTTAAAATTTGATTTCCGTTTGTTCGTTGACGAGATATTCCACTTTTAAGTTTGGGTTGGAGATAAGTAGTAGAGTGTCATTTGTGTGGCGGTGCGGCGCGCGACGTGTTATTGATGCACCACTACTCTCCTCCGACTTAAAATTAAAAGAAGAACATCTCGTCAACGGCTTGACAGAAATAAAAACTTTCAACATTCAAATTTATTTTAACTAATACTCCATCTATTTATGGAATTTTTAGTATAGGTTGGCATTTGAAAATTAAAAGTAGGTAGTTGTTTTACTCCCAAAAATATAGGTTACAAAATATAAAAATATACAATTTTAGAGCTGATTGTTTCTTAAATTTTCTAGAAAACAAATTCCGATAAAAGTTAATGTTTCCCGAGATAATTAATGTACCCACTTAAATGAATCACCCTATACCAGCGGTTCTCAAAGTGTGCGCCGTGGAGTCTTTATTGGGGCACCGCGACGAACACTTAGGACACTAGGAACTGTATATTTAATATACGGTTCCCATAAAAAAAACTCAAATTGTGAAAAATAAAAATAAATGAAGGTGATAGCAAGGATGCTTTTCCCATAATGCAGCAGTTTTCTTGCTCTATTGATGAAATATCTCTAGTTATGAAATCCATTTTTGAAGATCATTTATCACAACTTATAATCTGGCTTGAGAAGTATTTTCAAAATGAAAGTATTGGTAAGTTGTCATGGAATCAAGATCAGTTCAACTCCATTGCTCCAACTGATTTTGATTCTATTGAAGAAGAAAGTCTTATCGAGTTGTCTTGTGACAATAGTTTGAAAGCCAAATTTGGTAGAATGGATTTAATACAATTTTGGATTTCAATGAAAGATGAATATTCCCTATTAAGTGATAAAGCACAACGAATCTTAATTCCGTTTTCAACTTCTTATTTGTGCGAAGCTGGGTTCTCGGCGGTTGCAGTAATAAAAAACAAGTATTGATCAAAAATAAATGTGGAAAAACAAATGAGAGTGGCTGTGTCTATTTTGATTCCAAGATTTGAAAAATTGTGCAGTGATTTGCAAGCGCATCCATCCCATTAATTTAATGTTTTCGAAAAATTTATAAAATCTTAATAAAATCAAATTTTTAAAATAATTTCTTTGTGATTATAATAAAATAAAAATGTAATAGTCGAATAATACTTTTCTTTTTATTATCCTTAAAATGATCTATTCTTTATTTTATCTAAAAAGATGGTCATCGGTTTTATCAGGGGCGCCGTGAGAAAAATTCAGTTCTAAAAAGGCGCCGTAAGACGAAAAAGTTTGGGAACCGCTGCCCTATACTATAATGTTATAGTGTAGATATTTAATAAAATATAAGTTCACATATCTGGGTGTTTTCATTTAATTGTACGTCTGTGTCTGCATTAAATGGAATCCCTCGGATAACCGCGTGTACTTGTCGGACAAGTCTAATATCTATTTATTTTGTACACTGGTGTTAGGTATATTATGGTACGCGTAAAACTACTAAAGAAAAGTAAAAAAAAAAAACACACACTGTTTATTATAAAGTCACATTCCCTCTGCCCTTCCCTCCCGACCGCTGCCGCGAGTTAACGCGTTTTTCGTATTTTCGTGGATCTCTTTAGATTTCATACCCGACAGGAAAATAAATTAATAGGGCGGCGAGTGGATGTTACACGAGATGTTTTTATAATTTTTTACTGGTATGGATATACATAAAATATTAAAACCGACCCGCAGCTATATACAGTAATCCTTTTAGAAATTGTACATACAAATTCTCGACAAGCTCTTCTATACGATATAGTGTATACGTATATAGGTATAATAATTAAACGATATTTCAATTGCATTTGTCCGTAATAAAACGCGTGTCGGTTTTTTTCTTTCTTTTACGAAAACCCGATTTTGCTTTAAAACGCAACTACCTACGTCAAATTTAATATACTACAGTATAATATTATTATGTATAGCTTTATACACACAAACATAAATCGGGATTTCAAAAAAAATGTGAGGCATATATTTTGTTTTTTTCGTAATATATTTTTTTAATTACTTTACATTTGGACGGAAATTTGTACAGTAAAACTTCCATTAACAGTCACCTCTAAAAGACGGTCATCTCTGTGTAACAGTAATTTTTTTCGGTCCCGTCAAGTGTTATGCCTCTATAGGAAACCTCTAAAAGACAGTCATCTTTAAATAGCGGTCATTATTTCTGGTCCCTTCGGTGACCGTTACATAGATGTTTTATTGTAAATAATAATGGATTTTTAGTAAAAGTGCTCCGAGTTTTGCACGCCGCACTCTATAAACGATGCGGATTTTTCGTCCGGCGATACTTATTAAATATTTAATATTAAAAACCGTTTTATTTCCGGCGATTTCTGGGTTACTTCGGTTTCAAGAGACGAACAAACGCGACTGACACTACTCCACTAAGAATCGTTATAGATTCTGAGCGGCGCGAGAAAATAAATGCTTGAAAAATTTAACAGGAAGTTCATTGTAAATTGCACTTAGTGGTCAACAGTAAAAAATTTGAATTTAATGTAGTTTTTTTTCGTATAGTTTTTTTTGGCCTTTTAAAACATGTATAACCGCTCAAAATCGTTTTTCGTTAGCATTAATTAACCGTCGCGTACAGATAACCATTAAATTCCCCTCTATATCCTACTTTCCCAACTACTCACCTACAACAGTAACCCACCTATCCTGCTAAACATGTGTCTCTTTTTATTTTATTTTTGTGATTTATCGTCGGTTTTGGTATATCATTTTACGTTTTGCATAGAGAAGTTTTACTGTTTTTGGACGCGAAACAATGCAAATAAATTCGCAAACTGTTTATTTGTAGTGTATGGCGATTTTTACCGCATATTGGTATACCGCGAAAATAGAAATATACTCTACACACATAATATAGATAATATGTTATGTATATAATATTTTATCGTTGAATAAATACCGGACTAATAATCTAAGCAAATACCGTCTATATACCCGTCGGGGCTTCATAATATTGTAATAACAGTGCAATCACGTGCGCCAGTGATGTGCGCGTTGCATACGTCCTGTATCTATGCACACACGGTTAAACGTACATACGTTCTTAAAATTAAATTCAGTGACCCGCATAGGCGTGAAAAGAGTTTTAAAATGTATAGGGCTTGAGCCCGATATAGCTGTTTATAGTGTGCACAGTAAGACTAAACCGATTAATTGATAATTATTGATGATTCGATATTATTAGGTAGGGCTGTAAATGGCTCCTAAGCCTCCTCCTCCTCCTCCTCCTCCATATTTACGTATATGGTGGCGTGCACGGGTATTGCCGATCGGAGGGAACGTATATAATTTTAGGTTTGATTAGTGGGTGAGTGGCGGAGTACCGTTTTCGATCGCCATGCGCCCTGCACCCTGCACTGCCCAAACAGCGGAGTGGAACGTCTCGTCGGCGGGTTGACGGAAATTTTAAAATATCAACACCCGAGGAGCCGCATAGAAACTGAAACCCGGTCCGTATTTATTGTATTTTTAACGCGGGTAAAATCAAAAGCGAATAACAGTCGATAGTGTCTCGTCGATAGTGTCTCGTCGACGCTCGCCCTGTATAGTAATAATAATAATATTATCATCATACTATTATGAACGTACAAGTACGGCCAAAAAGTGTATCGGGCCGTTCGTTATACCGGTCGATACGTCGGCGACGCCGTGTTGCGTTGCCGATTTCGATAAAATAACTATTAACGGAAACGCGTGTACTTTAATATAGAATTTATAATCAAGCGTTTTCATATTTGACGTGCCGCGTACTCGAACAATATTGACCGGACGTGCATGACAGCATACAATTAAGTTCCGCGTTAACATTTCAACGGAATATCGTGTTTTGTCGCCCGCGGGATAAATCGCTGTCCGCCAGAATTCATTGTTAATAAAACGCGTACGTTATCCAAAAAACCATTGACAGTAACCCCGCTAACAGGTCACCGTTTCCCTTTAAACTTGAAATCGGTCACGCCATTTTACGACCGTCTCTCCGGATGAAAGACGATGACGAGCGGTGACTTTTCGTCGTTCCCTCCGGAATCACCACCTCTTTGTTAAATCCGTTTGGCCACCACTACGCGTTGTCGCCTCTTTTCACAATACGACCGTAACACCGAACAATCAGTTCGATTTAATCTCGGAAATTTCGTTTTAAATATTCAATTTTACGTCCGTATTGCACACAACCCTGATACAAAACGTATTCAAATCGTTTTGATAGTTTGATTGAAGAAGATGATAAGTATACATATACTATGAGACAAGTTTTAAACGAATATAATGTATTTGTCGCCGTCGCTATTGCTAGCTATACGAATTTGTAACCGTACCAAAACGGTAACAACGGTCAAAACATATATAACTGAACTCCGCTCAGAATAGTTTTTCCTTTACAATGATTAATCTCGGCGTACAATATACATTAAATTTCTCCTCCCAAATTCTCACCTAAAACATTGGCCCACCCATCGCGCGAAGTATGTCCGTTTGTTTTTTTAAAATAAATGTTTAACGAGTTCGGTCCAAGTCGAAATGATTGCCGAATTGCATTTAGGATAGTTTCACAAAACACAACCAGCGTGGGCCGACAGCCATATGTCCGTTACCGCTCAGAGAAAGTTTGTTTCGTATGTGTAAATCTAAAACTCGATGCCCTTGCCGATGAAAAACCGCGACGGGCTGCGTATTTACATACATACCTTGTATCGGATAAGGTTTGCCAATACGCTAATAAACGGGTCGCGTATTGGCGAATAATTAAACTGCGGACGTTTAGAAAAAAAAAAATAATAATAACGGCGACTCGAAACTATTGGTCCCTTAAAAAGTTAGAAATATCTTCCTGTGTATATTTTTTTACTACTTCGGTTTGTTTTGCATGAACACGTTATTTTTACCCCTGGAAATCATGTTTGCCCTTATTGAATATTATCCCCAGCGCGTTAATGTTATATACGTATGCACTCCGTGTATACAGGTCGCGTGGTGGCTTCTCACCACTGATTTCAATATGATAACAATATCGAATGATCGACTTGTGTTTTGCAGGACTGGGTTTCGGCATGATCTACCTGCCCGCCATCGTGAGCGTCACGTGCTACTTCGAGAAATACCGTTCGTTGGCCACCGGCATAGCCGTGTGCGGCTCCGGCCTGGGCACGTTCATTTTCGCGCCGTTTGTCGAGTTCTTAGTGTCCAATTACGGATGGAAGCCCACCGTGGCCGTGATTTCCGGGCTGGTGTTCTTGTGCACGTTGTTCGGCTTACTGTTCCGGCCGCTCCCCACTGATGAACAGCTTCAGCAGCAGCAACAGCATCAGCAGTTGGCCACCGGCGAGAGTGTCACTCCGGTCGTTTTGACCATTGTCGAACCGCCCGCCGAATGTCAGCCGCTGAACGGTAACGTAGTCCAGGGCAGTCAGTCGTTCGATCAAATTCCCAACTCGGACGACGATGGCGGTACCGGCGACGAGTGGCGACGTCTCGGCAGCGGTAAGCTACAGAAAAACATGTTGCTGCCTATCGAAGTGAGCACCAACACGTTCGGCAACGATCTGGACAAACAGTCCAGATTCACGCTCAGCCAGCCCGAACTGATCGTGCCCGGATTCAACAGCCGATTGAACACCGCTCGGAACGAAGTGTGTTACGCCAGCCAAAACCTCAAGCCCCACATCGGCAACGGCGGTATCATGTACCAAAAAGACATATTCTACAGTGGCAGCCTGAAGAACGTAAACATCAACAGGAGAAGGTCAGTGAATGCTATTTGAATAGATGGGGGGGGTCTTATCTTTTTAGAATGGGTCGTTTGAATACACAGGGTGAGGTATCGTGCAATCGATGTAAAGTGATCGATATTTCATGCTATATATTTTCGGTTTTATAGAAAATGGGCTCAAGTCAATTTTTGGTGGTTTTTTTTAAAAAATATTTATTATGTTGTGTTTTGCAATTTTATCCCTTTAATTTTTAGACGAAATGGTATACGTGTATGCGTAACCATATACATAACATTATAGGTATAGTTATTTAGCCATCGTGTCATCTAGTAATTCTCAACGTTTAATTTGTTTGTATAGAAAACTTTACAAAATTATCAGGTATGTCCTTTTTCTCTAGAGCCAAAATTACATTGAGGCGATGCTTAAAAATTCAAAATTTGTTTAATAAATAGTATCAATAATATCAAACGTATGGGTGATGTTTAAAATTTAACTTTAAAAATATTGTTTTGGGCGCCGTGTCAATTTGTTCATGTCTTCATTGTTCTTCACAGCATGATGTTTAAGAGCCTTAGAAGAATAGTTCTTTAAGTTTTAAAAGCTACTACCACCTGATAAAAGTAGAAAAAAAAACTTTTGTATTCCTTTATCAAGTCGAATTTCAAAAACAACTCGTACATTTTAAATATCGAAAAAATCGTTGATTTTTAAGCGTCATTTCATAACAATATGCTCGTAATATAGTGTATATAATACTGTTATGGTATTTAAGAAAATTTTTATTATTTTATTTTATTTTTTTTCATATTTTATTTTACCCAGCTCTTAATAACCAAAATTTCCCCGACTCGATCCTATCCCTACAGCTGTTAATCGTCGTTGCCCGGTAATTTGTCTTTTAAACGGGGTATAGGTGCTCTCTTGTCTGTGACAACCGAATTAAATAATAATTACCGGTCTTTTCATCCGCGTCGTTAGGTAAACCTAAAATCAACAAAAGAAAATAATCAATTTTCGTTCCAGAAATACGGAAAACCCCGTGTCGGAAACCTTTGAATTTCGAGATAGAAAACGATTGTTCTCTTGTTTTGAATGCCATCGAGTGTGCAACAAAATTTCGTTGAGACCGGAACGCGAAATCGTAGATATGTCTGATAGTAATAAACGCTATAAAATGTTTATGTTTTACCAAAACATAAAAACGTAATTAAAATATAAATATTCGTGGTACTTGTCCCTGAGAGTAATATCAAAAATAAACAGAATTTGATTATCTTTATTATGTCAAGGAGATATTGCAACGGGGTATCTTAATGGGATATCTGGGACACTCTGTATGATCGTATCGTTCCATATTGTTCGTGTCGAACGAGAAACCCTAAACGTCATAATTTTCGACAATTTTCGTGTTTTTGGACAAGTATAATTATCATTATTTTTTTATGAAAAACCCGTTCGAGCAGATCGCTTTTTTTCCGAACACTCGGCACACAAGTAGGTAGGTGTACGCTCGCCAAGTCACGAGTCGCGCGTGGCTGGGGATTTTATTCGAAATACATGTTACGTTGCTTTTTCTCGTGTTATTTTAAAATATTTATTTAACCGCCAAAAAAACTCTAATTAAATGCCATGCGATTTCATCTCTATTGTTTTCAAATGTATATGTACATATATATATATAGGAACATACCATATTGGTTGGTTGTTGTTTTTTTTTTTTTTTTTGCAATTCAATAAACTCTTAACTTTATCAATTGACATCGACAATAATACGATACGTTATAGTTGGAGATTTTACTGAAACATATATATTTATAATCGTTTATTTATATTGAAAATTCGAATTTATAATATTCACGAGTATGTATTATCGAGTATTCTTCAAGCTAAAAATTAATAAATCAAAAAGTAAATACTGTACTTGGTTTCTCTGTTTTTTCCTTGTCAATGTACATATTTGAAAGCACGCGAATTTCAATTCTTTCATTTACCATATTGCACTCCCCACAATCAACGAAATTGATTTTTCGTTGATTTTTCGCGGTTATATAGACGCGAAATAAAACCTTAAAGTAATCATTTTACTAACGAAACAAGATTCTGAGCGAAATTCGATTAAACGTATTTTTGAAGTGCCGTCATTTTCATGTTGTTCATCAAAATTTAATCTTAAAACTTTTATAATCAAAAATAAAACTTATTACATTACGCTTAATCTGTTTTCTATATTATTACCAATTACAATAACTAATGATGAACGTGTGTGGGAGATTTTCGAACTGTTTTGCTCGGCGAAAACAATTCTAATTCACTTAAAACCGTGTAATAAAAGCTCGGAAATTTCAAATAGCATTAAAATTAACATGAAAATCATTAGAATTTTTAAAAAGGTTCTCACATCTATTTAAGTATTCTGTGAACATCGCTAGTCTCTACCACATTTTTTTTTTTTACTGAATCACAGCCATTAAAAATATAAAACCAAATCGAAAATGAAAAAACTGTTGTTGTAAATTTCCCCGGTTTTCCGGCGTTATTTACCGGTAAATATAGGGTAAATTTTACCCCGATTTTTCCCAATATTAAGAAAACTACAAAAAAAATAATCAAAAAATGACCTCAACGTCCCGACTAGATAAAATTTCCTACCGGAAACTACCATTGAAAATTCGATGATCGGGTCGAGATTTCTGCGAGCAGGAAAGTCGTTCGCAAAAAATAAAAATTGTTTAAAATCACACGTCATCATATAATAGGAAGAATGGTTCAAAATTTAAAAAAAAAAACAAAAATCGACAATTTAATAAAAAAAAAATCAATTCCCCGCCACGAATCTGATAAACCATATGATACCTAACAATGTTAACCTGTAGGTATACCTACACCGGATAAAATGCTTTCGCGCATTCGTGCCCTTCTACTTCATTTCCGCCGTTTTGCTCGTGATCGACTAGACGGAGACTTTTGTTTATTATCGTGTACGCGTATCGCGTCCTAAAACGCAATATTGTCGACGCTATTGTCTGAAAATATTAATCACGGTATTATTTTTTATATTTTATTTTTTTTTGTTCGTCTCAAACGCTGATATTTTTTTTTTTATACGGACATGCGTTCGGTAACAATAAGCATCTCCTCCGCCGCCGCCGTCTACGATGATACACTCGTATAATTATTTGAACTCCACTCGGAAGTCTTTTATCCTCCCGCAGCGATATTGTCTACGGGAATATATAGTGTGGTTGATGATTTTCTTTTTTCTTTTTGTCAAAAGTATAATGTAGGTGTACCTATAATATTATTATCCGCGATTTTTTTTTTTTTTTTTTTAAGTATTATACAACCGTCATTTTCTAAAAAGGTTTTTTCGATCAACCTAGGGATATTCAGTCTATTACTTACTAGTATAGGTATCATACACAGAAGCGATTTTTATTACCCCGTCTTCGTGTCCTGGCAAAACAACGTAAATAAGGGAAAACCGCTTTACAGTTTCTTTAGTCTTTAACATCATCGAACGCGATATTGAAAATGGTCGTTTGTTACATAAAAAAAAAAAAAAAAATACTGATACTGCTGATGGCCGTGTCGCCGTTTTTGGAGGGACGTTTGAAAGTAGGGGATATACTGCGTAATTACCTAACTAGTATAACCGTGTGCGCAACAATAAACCATTCCTGACGAAAAACAATTCTGAGCAATGCTGTATTTATATCTTGTTGCCAGGGTGACTCGGAAATCAAAATAAAAAGTTGTCGGTTTTCCTGTTAGTTAAGAAAACCACGAGGAAAACGATAAAAAATGAACAATTTGATTGGAGTGAGATTTTGTGTAGAAAAATTGTTTACACACACAAAAAAAAAACCACGCATCATAGTAAAACCATTATCATTCCTCTCTTCACTTAGAATCTGAAAAACTTCTGTACGACGAAATATCGTTTATAATATATAAACGAACAAAAAAAAAAAAAATTATTGTTCGCTGTATCCCCCCAAGTTATAGAATTTTTTTCTTCTTGATAAACCTATGTGATATTTTTGTGACAATAGGATATCGTTACGTCGCGTCGTCGATTGCTGCGGTTTAAAAACGAAACGGCAGAGTATAATATAATATACCCGTCTGTAGCCATCATATATAATCAATTATTGTGTGCGACCAAAATATTGTTATTTTCGTGCTTTATCCTCTGTACAATACAATTTTTTTTTTTATATATATTTGAACCTCGAATACCGCAAAAACATATTGCAATATTACGTTAGACTTGAGCGTACTCGCCCGAAACGCCGCATTCCGCCGCGTACAATACCGGCGCAATAATTCGGTACATATTACACTCGTATTTCACGTTAATTTAAATATGAGACTGTGTACAGAGATAATATAATACAATACTGATCGTAATGTCGGGTTACACAAACAGTCTATAAATGCAGTCCGATAGCTTATAGATTACGTGTTGTAGGATCGATAAACCATATATTGGATCGGCGCGGTTAAAGGCGGAAAAAACTTCCAGATGGTGCTGTTTATTGCGGGCGTTAACGAAAAAAATGTCTAATCGAATTACCCGAGCATATTATAAATATTAAGTAAACCCAACGAAGCTTTCTGGAATGGGCCGCGGAGTCAAAACTTCCGCAATTGGTTTTCTCACACACACACACACACATACACATTCACGTACACAAACACGTGCGCGCGCGCGTTCGTTAATACAAATTAAACTAATAGGATTTACAAATAAACTCCGTCCTCCCGAAAAGTTGTCCTATACATTATATTTTTATATTACGCTTGCTCAATGCAATTATAGTAAAACGGTCTGCAATTTACGCGTTTATAGGCCAATGTTAAATAATTAATTTTTAATAACGTCACATTTGTTTAGAGTTTTGAATATCGCATTAAACATGTAGTTCAGCGACAACAATTAAAGCGTCACCCCGGACTTCAAAGACCCCGTCCCTCCACGCCCGTCCCCTACTTTGACCATAGCGTTGGATAAATAACTCGATTGCGTCCATTTGAACTTGTTATACTGTACTGTCGCATATAAAACTCGTAAATAAACCTTTCTATACGAAGTAACTGCGGTCAGTAGCGGTTATACCTCGGCAATTTCGAGAATGTGACTAATTTAAAATCCACGAGAGATCACGCAGGATTTCCATCTCGTCCATCATTATTAATTGATTATTCGTTATTCTCTTCCTTGTTCGAAATGTGTTACACTTTAATCAGTGTACTGAAAATATTAAAATGTCAGTGGTTTCAGTCAAGTCTCTGATCAAAACAATTGTCCGTAACCCATCTTGTTGAAGCATGTTTTTGAGCACTGTTCAAATGTTTCCCTGCAGGTTCGTCAATTTATGCATAGTTATTTCCCGTCATATCAAAATCGTACGAATTAATCTATTATACTTACACGTGTATAATTGCATAAGTATATAAATATTGTAGCTACAGATTAAAGTCACCAAAAAATCCCACGGGCAGAAGCAATCTAATCAGTCCCTCCTAATAAATATCCGCCATTGACCGTATGCAGTTGTAGTTTTATGATAGAATTTGATAACGATAGGATTGTGATGATGATTAAAACGCTAATGTTTATTTAGATTCGTGATTAAATTATTTAATGCCAGTTATATTATTATATAATATTCCACGGTATTGCGCTATTATTACCTGACACTATTTGTGTGATATCAATAAAATGAGAAAATACTGTATAAATATTTTATTAGTGTCCAATAAAGTTAGTGTTTTTTTTTTAAAAATTATCGAACCGAAATCGGGCCCTCGATTTATCGGTCCGATAACTGGTTTTTATTTTGTCGAATCGATAAACGATAATATTATAATAATTATATTAGATACTGTCGTTTCTGCAACAGTCGTTAATAAACGCGCAATTAGTATACCTACGTCATGTTCTTATTATCAGTCTGCAATTAGTAATAATTGGATCTAAAAAATGTAATAGTCACATTAACAAACATGTATAATATTTGTTTAAACGCTCGTATTGCATACGAATATATACTTACAGACCAAGATTTGACTGTTATTGAATTTCCAAGTTTCTCTTGGTTAGGTTTTAGCAATAAAATACTTATATCTAAGTAACTTATCTTATTTGAGTACCTACTTAAAATGTAGAATATAAGAATTTTTAAGTTATTATACTTTACAACACATATTTTATATTGTACATTTGTATTTGTTTGGATCGGATCCAATCGTACTAGATAAAGATTGTTATCTCATATAAAATGTTTTCGCACTAATTGCACGTATTGAATCGAACCCATTGCTATATTATGTAAACCACAATGCGATAACCAATTATATTGGTCGAATATGCAACCCGAAATAAGTCTTTTTGTATAAAAAAACGGTCACATCATAAGTATTTTATTGTGCCGTTTTGTCTTGTGTCTCTGCAGTTTGAAGTGCATGCAAATATAAAAATAATATAATGTATCACAATAAGTTTCCCTCCACCGTCTCTCATATAGTCATCTTGAAATATTATTATTATTCTCAATGTTGTTCAATTTTTGACATTTCTAAGGAAAATTCGAAAATTCTTTTTGAAATTAAATGTACCTATAATACCTATATACTCGTGTATAGGTCAGGTAAAAATAAATTGCAAATGTATCCCGTGAATTTGGAACATATACAATTTTACGTAAAATATTCTACCGTTAAATTATAATCACGTCAAGACATCGAACATTCAACGACGTTTTTATTTTTTCGACATCTGTTGGGGAAGACATTAGACATTTCCTATGTGACTACACGATGCTGAGTCGCTATTTTACGACGTTTTAATAATATTGAAGTCGTCTAATACATATTCTATATCCATCATAATATACTTTAAATATATAATTTATTTTTTGTTGATACAATGGAAACGTTTCGTATTTACACTTTTAGGCGATACAACACTTAATAATATTAAAATGTTGAACAAAGCGACAACGGTAATGAACAGATAAAATTCGCTTCCGACATTGAGTCGACCAAATTATTGTCGACACAGATCAATGTCACAAAACAACAAAACTGTATTATAATGTCATGATATTATCGATTTTACGCGCGTATAGTGATAATTTGCTGCGTGTCGCATACGTCAGCGCGTGTCGTCTTTCTAAGACCCATTGTAGAAATATATCGCAGTATATAATGTGTATTAGTAAGATTCGTTTTTCAAAAAACTTATCATTAGTAGTATTAGTCAATTTATTTCGTAGTTACTGTTCGATTTTGAGCGCAACGTGAAATGTATTGGTTTTGCTACGATATTGTCTGCAATTTCTTTTTTTTCAAAAAGGTCTATATAATAATATATATATATATTGTATAGTTTTTATAGTATCAAAATCTTGGTGTATATAGATAATCGGCCTGTGTGTACGATAAAATATGCTCTCGGGATAAGATTATGTGGTCTCGCCCTCGGGATAGATAGTAGAGTAATATTGAAATTGAAATTTTACTTTAAATCTCGACGGGTTTGGTGGTTTTTTTTCGGCAGAACCATATCGCAGACGACAAACGTCAATATCAACACCGAAAACGCCAGCTCCACAGACCTCGACAAGTTTTCGGACAGAATCTGTTGTTCGGGCGAAGCCCAAGACACCATCAAGCAAATGTTAGACTTCACGTTGCTCAAAGATCCCATTTTCATATTGTACACGGTTTCCAACTTCTTGACCAGCATCGGTTTCAACATACCGTACTTGTATTTACTTGTGAGTAAAATATATTAATGTTATTAGATAACGAAGACTGCAGTCCCAGTACGCGGGTATAAATTCGATATATTTTTTATTTTATTTTTTCAGCCTCAAGCCGAAATAATGGGAATACCATCGAAACACTCGAGTTACTTGCTGGCCTTGTTGGGTATTGCCAACACAGTGGGCCGGGTCGTACTCGGGTTCATATCAGACAAACCGTGGATTAACAGACTATTGGTGTACAACGTGTGCTTGACAGTTTGCGGCATTGGTGAGTAATTTTATTTCTTCTCTGTCCACTCGGATCAGAAATCGTGATTTTTTTTTCGATTCAACTTAGTGCTTCGTGAACAACACGATTTTTCTGCACGCTTAGAAGTCACCGCGTAAAATGCTTTCCAACTAAAAAAAATTTTAAAAACGATTGCTAAAGTATATAATATGGTGTTTAGGTATTAAGATTTTGTGCAGACACGTAACATTTTTCCAAATTTTTTCCACCCAATAATGGTTGTCTTGTGGCTCGGCCGTGGGGTTGAGAGAACCATCAAATGTTTGCACCCCCTTATAAGAACCTGAAATGGCGCCATCCGGTGAATTTATTAATGTGACTTAGCAATGTGTCGACCCGCGTACTATTATTACAGGCTCTGTCCACGAATTAAGTGATTCCGAATTACGCGAACCTATTCAAATATCATTATGCTAATTATATTAACTATTAATACAATATACGAAAATATTGTACCAGTGCTTAACGATAATCTTGAGTTTTAAAATTCTCAACGGAGTCAGGAATGTATTGGTTTTACAATAATATTAATTTTTTTATTTTATCCTTTTCCGAGACAACTTTTCTACCAAAAATTTTACTCTAATTCTCAAGTGTACCACTTTTTCTGAAATTAAATTTGACTTGGGTGGTATTTCAGGGATGCCATATTTTCATGTACAACCGAACTTTGCTCAGAATTAATCGTTTTTCGTTAGCATTGATTAATCTTTGTGAATAGATATACATTAAATTTCCCCTCTACTTTCCCAACGTCTCACCTACAACAGTGGCTCGCCCATCGTGCGAAGTATGTCCGTTATTTTTTTTATGTAGCCTTGATTTTTACTATTGAACTTTTTCGAGATAACCGGTTATATTTTCCATATACATATCTGCAGTATGATCACCGCAATGCAAAATTGCAATTAATTCCCGCGAGACCAAAATAGTTAATCGCACATCGCGTAGTTTTTTTTTTATTGCCTATCCGTTTTTTTTTTTTAACTTTTTAATTTCTTAATTTCTATTACGGCCTTACATTATAATGATTACTCGCATGTATCGAACAAGTCATAAGCTACCTATATAGGCTTTTTATTATGGCTATAATCGAACACGCAAGTCATGACACACATACACACACACTCACGCACGCATAATTTCAAATGACGGTGAGAAATCTGCATCAATCCAACAATATTGTAAATCCAGATTTAGAATTTTGGATTATTTTACGCAATTCGTCTTTCATAAAATAAAATTAAAATCGATAGATCAAAATATAATATTATCATAGCGTGTAGACAATAATATTCGAAAACTAATCGTATAGAATATTATCGAACCGGGCGTACTTCGCACCGCCGTTTTAGGTCAGTGTATTAGATGTGAGGTTTGCAAGGTATGTAGGATCTTCTTCTTCTTCTTCTCGTGTCCAATTTGAATTTCCAATAATTCACCGTTAGTAATAAAGTAAGTGATAAATAAATAAACAAATAAATAAATAAATAAATAAATAGAGGAATAAAATGAAAATAAAAAATTATTTAGTAATAACAGTCGCGGTCGGTTAGCGTTGTTGAATCGTATATTTCAGCCAATGTGTGACCACGTCTATGGCATACTTGTTCACCTATACCAAGTCGTCCTTGGCGTATATAGGATATTATAGAGTAATTAAATTCACACAAATGCAACGACAGCAACGATGTATATATATATATATATATATATATATATATATCTCGTTAAATCAAAAGAACGATTCCGAGCGGAATAGTTTAGTCGCAATCTATTGTACCAAAAAGGTAACTTGCAGGAAATTAACAACAATAAAACCGCGATGTGCGTCGACATTTCGTTGCCGGCTATGGTCAACTGTGTAAAAAAAAACTGTGAATTGTTTTCAAATAAAGTACCGCTGGACGAAAATCCGGCATGGGCATTCAAGTGACCGAAGCATTTTTAAAATGTGTTTTTATTGAAAAAAATACACGCACGTTTTTAGTAAAACTAAAAGTTCATTTGTCGTACTCGAAAAGTATCACAAACGTTACAGTTAAGTAATCTGGTCCATATTAGTAGAGAAAAACTACGATTCTCACGTTTAAAATAACATAAACCCGAATTTGCTAAGTACGAAAACTGTTGGAATTTTCCGAATCTGAAATCCGGATTTTTCGGTTTTACCTTAACATCACTTATAAACGCACACACATACACACCTACACATAAATAACATAATAATTAATATAATCGTGTATACAAAATAATAACGATGTTTTTTTTTTTTTTTTTCACTGTGATTAATTCGATGCAGCTACCATTTTGAGCACCTACTGCACGGATCTGTTGACGTTTTCCTTGTACACGATCGTTTTTGGTTCTACCATCGGAGCTTACGTGGGTCTGACGTCGGTGATTCTGGTGGATTTGCTCGGCATTGACAAATTAACAAACGCTTTTGGAATCCTATTGATGTTCCAAGGGTTCGCATCGCTTGCCGGACCACCCATTGCTGGTAACTATTTTTTTTTATTAATTTTACGTTATTTTATTTCCGTATAATAAATACATAATCAGTGTTGTTAGACTGAGAGATATAGATATTTCCCTCCGCGTGGAGAATTCGAATAATTATCAAAAATCGCATAAATGTGAATAATATAATACTTATATTTACTATTTTACTTGGTGTGTTTTAATATAAATGCACATTTTAATTTCAACAAGGTTTAGCGTGTTTAGGTAGTATTAATAAAATGTGTTAGTTAAAAGAATTAATGAAAATTATTTATTCGAAATTAATAATCGATTTGAGCGTTAATTCTGTGATAATGGTGTAGTGACGGCTAATTTATTTTGGCCGGAAAATATCGTTATCTCTGGAGTAAAAACCGTTTAACTCTTATCTAGAGATTTTTTTTATTTTTAATATTGCCGAATTTATCTTGTGCTCCACACTCCAATCGCACAGCAATTTATTTTTCATTTATTATTTACGAATATTTGCTTTTTTTCTTTTATTTAACGACGCTGCGCCGCATTTATCGTGCAATATATTAGATCGAATTTACTCAATATTTTAATATCATGTGTCAAATGTTGTACAGATAAAAACATTAAAGTCTATACCCGTATATTATCCCGATAACCCGTTTATGGCTAAATCGAAAAAAGAAAAGAAAAACGCACATATATCGTGTATAATTATCGATTTTATACGAAAAGTGTAAGTTATAAAAATTTGAAAAAAAAAATCGCGTAAAACTTTTTTGTCTGTTACCTTTGCGTGCGAAAAGACGGTGAAATAATATTTTTTTCGTGTTGGTACTCGTTAAATTAATTCCGTCGAGATTGGCATGTTATGTTTACCTAGGTACTGGTATATAAGTATTCTCAATAATTGAGGTTACCATTAATCATTAACCCGGATTACGTTATAAATTATTTTCGAGAAAAAATATTAATCCAGTAAGTACCTAGTACCTGTACGCAGTGGCGTATTTAGGATTTTACCTAGGTAGGTGGGAAATAATTAATTTGGAAATTGTGGCATATTGCAGTATATAAAAACGTGTATCCGACTGAAAAAAAAAAGATCAATTTTCCTTTATAAACGTGATAGGTTTCGTTTTAAAAACAGAAAATGTACATTAGATTTTTTTTTTGTAATTAAGGACATTTTAATTTAGAAATAGATTTCGTATAAATAATGCATTTTATGGATATTTAAAAAAAAAAAAAAAAAAATGTCAAATGGTGAGATATACTTGTATATTATATAGCTAATTTCCCCCGTAAATACGCCACAGTACCTATACGCAGTATATTATTCTGTCGTCTATATATAAACTGCAGACACAAATATTGGTCAATTTCGCGTCGCTTCTCAAATACGTCAGTCGATTCTGATGATTTGACCGTCACCCTCGCGTGCTAATAAATACGCAAAGTCAATAAGTATACTATACGAGCACTTATGTACCCTATATTTAAGTTCTACGTCAATCCTATAACAATATGTTTACCCTATACATTACTATAGCGAAACGATAAATATATCGCGCAATTTTTCTCCCGGAAAGTACTAAGACACGAAAATGTTATTGACCAACATGCTCGTAACCGATTTGTAAAAGTGATATGTACTAATAAGGGTTAAAACAAAATAATTATCAGACCGTGTTTATAGGTTATTCTGCGGTAACGTCTAAAATTCCGAGTATTTCGCGCAACGAGGATTTTTGTTTTTTGTGGAGGAGGATAGGGTTGGAATAGTATTTGATATACTGAGCAATTTAATTTATTACGCAACGGAAATTATAAAATTCGTGTTTTTCCCAACGTTACTCGGAAATCAACAAAGTCAAACAATAAAAAAAATTCAAATAAAAGGCATACGAATGAACTACTAAAAATAACAGTAAATAAAGTACTACGAGATTTCGCTTCTGTCGAGATAGTTCGTGAAAAAATAGGCGCATTTACCTAAAATAAAAAATAATAATAATAAAAAAAAGCATAAAAACTATTTTTTTGGAAAAAGTATTGTAAGTTTTGAAACGATTTTCAATTGAAGTAGTAAGAAGTGAAAAATCTGAGCATTTTTACTAACCGTGTTTTAGAAAAAAAAAAACGATTCTTCGTTACCCTTATTCAGAATCGACAAAATCTAAAATTGATTTCGAAACATTTTCCACTGTTAATAGAAAATTTCATCTCAAACTTCGGGTTTTTCAAACTCTCCCATTGGTTGCGCCACTGCTCGCCAACATATCGAATTGAGAACCGGACAATTTATTATTACACGTCAAGTTTTAATATTTAAGCGTCACTACCGAATAATTTTACAACGGTATAATATCGTACAATTTAACAAAGAAAAAACACCAATCCTCTCTAACCTCTATCAATTTCGTCACAAAAATAAAAAACCGCCCACTTTATTTTGCAAACGTCAAAAAGTCGCTCGCCTTCGATTGCCAACCGGTGTATTATAATACCGAAGACGTAGTATAATATCACGTGTTTGTAAACTTAAATGTCAATAACATAAAGACTATTTCAAAAAAGTAATAACCTAACAAACAGACAATATCCACAGAGTGTGCTGCTACTCCGTGGCCGCGTTTATCTCGTGTAAATAGTGGAATTCAACAGAAAAAAACCCCCGTGGCTGATTTTTATCGTCGGATTTCTGGACTATAATATGTAATAGTTATAATTTTAATTAACAATAATATCAAATGGTGTTCCTAGACTATAATCATCAGGACGTACAGTGTGAAATGTATGGCTTTCAATGGTGGGTGGGTGTTGCACCAATATTTCCAACCGCGTCGAATTCCCGAAAAACAAAGGCAATAACTAATAACAGCCCGTTTTATGTCCAAAATTGTGATTAGCGTAGGTTTTTTAAAATTATTTTCGTAATTCATTCGGTTTGGCAATCAAACATTGGCCCGTAATGAAGCGGCCCTATGCTTAATTTTAAAAGACATGTAGGGCCACTGACGTATATCTAAATATTATGTTAAGAAATATTATTGTACCTGATAAATTGTCGCTCAACCCGGCAAAAGTCGGCGGCGGCCGATTGTTATTAATATTGTATTTCAATCTTATAATTTATGCGTTTTGGTTTTTGTTTTATTTTTCCGTTTTACAGGTTGGCTGTACGACGTGCTGGGCTCGTACAATCCGGCTTTTTACCTATCGGGCTCGAACATCGCGCTCAGCGGTGTCATGTTGTTCGTGATACCGTACGTCCAGAGGTATTACGAGAGGAAAGAACTCGATAAAATGACTGCGTAAAAAAATGCACAATTTTTTACAATATTTGATACATACACAATGTACTTTAAACGAATTGTAATTTGTTATACACAAGTGTTTATTGTTATATATACTTAAAACACGGGAAAACATTGGAAAAAACAAAACAAAATCACCTACGAGAAGCCTCTCTCATCCTCCACTGTGTTACAGGAATATTTTATTATTATTTTTATTATTATTATTATTATTATTATTATTATTATTATTTTCGCTCAGCGGGCATTTATTTAATTTTAATTTTAATCGTCATAATAGTATATTATTAACTATATAGTAATGTTTTTTTACACTGCGGGGAGTTCTTCACCATCGTTCTACCCGCTCGGATTTTTGCTCAATATATGATTTATATATTTACCTCGTTGACCATAAATTATATAATAATACGTTATAATAGTTATAATCACCAATTTTCTTTTTCTTTTTTTTTTTTTTTGACAATAAATATTAAAAATATAAAATTCTACGTCTTTCGTTAAGCGTGTGTGTGTGTGTGTGTGTTAATCGATTGTAATCGAAACGAATTTTCCAAAAAAATACTTCCTATCCCACCCCTCTTCGAACTGTATAAATAATATGCACACATATACCAATATACCGGATATCTATCGAATTAATTATTATAAATCTATAAAATGTATATTTTTTTTAAACATAGAATATTATATTATAGAGCGAACGATATTACGAAATATCGATAACTTGAATGTTAATCGGTGTGCGAAGTTTATTAGTGATTTTTTTTTTTTTTGCACCTAATCGAATCGAAATGCACAAGACGATGGAACGATATTGAATTTTTTAACGCGCCTACGTGACGTTTCGATGAAAATTTAGTTTGAATTTCCCGAGAAATCGCGTCGGGCACAGTATTATAGATGGCCAGTATTGAATTATTATTATTTTTTTTTATTATTATATTTTACCTTTCCGAGGATTTTCCGAATCCGCCCCGGTTTTTTTTTTTAATTTCTGTTATTGTTTTCCCCGAAATTTCGGACGTTTTTCGAAACAAAAAAAAAACGCGTTTACCGTACGTACGGTTATTTTGTACTGTAGATCGATTCATAACGACGCACACCAACTTCCCACGCCTATAATGTGTACTCGCTACTATATTAAAACGCATTATGAATTATTTTTTAAACGTGTAATTCATGTTTTGTTTTTTTTTTTTTACATATAATATACTCGTACTAAACATTTTATGATGTAACTATTATTATACTTTACACTTGTAATTGATGGTTTCCCCCCCAAAAAAAAAAAAACGATACGATACTATAATATATCGGCGATAATCGTTTAAACTCTGTTATAACTATTATTATTTTTTTAATAATTCCTTAATATATGTATATTTTGTTTTTAATATTCACGCAAAAATTTAGAAATCCGTATCGTTATCAAACACATATAGTACTCGCGTATATTATTGCAAAGATTTTTATACGTGTCATATTATAATATTATATATTAAATGCGTAATGCTAATTTTTATATTGTGTAACAACACGCTATCGTTGAGCTCATCTCGTATCAGTTTTTTGTATATTTTTTTTTTCTTATCAAGCCTGTTATAATAATATCGTCCCTGACGATTTTGGCGTGCGTAAAGCGCGTCGGGCGAATAAAACGTTCGAAGAAACCGCCGAGAAACGCGTCGGATTCGAAATCGTAACACGATATTTTTTAAATCTATTATTTTCATTCCGGTGAATTATATTATTGGCCGAGATTACCATAGTATTGTATAGTTTTTTTTTCCCCAAATCAAAAAAATAACCATTTGTAACCCCGCCATCGATTTTAAATATTATATTATAAATAATAATATTTACCTATACATAATATGTTTATGAATTATTATAACGCATCAGTTTAAAAAAAAAAAAAAAAAAAAAAAAAAAAAAATG